AACTGAATCTTATCTATATTCAGAAGATGGCCAAAGCATGATGTCTTGAATTGTTCTAATTGTTCGGCACTCAACTTCGCTCGAATTACAGCTAGGGATGAATTTGCATGTGAGCAGTTGTTCACCCGTGAGGAATATGCCTCTGACTCTGGCCATACCAGCTCAACGTTGGATCCCATTTCCTGAAATACAAGATGAAATAACGTGAACACATATACTACCACGTATTTGCACAATCACATTGGTATTTACACAACTAGTCAACCAGCACATTACAAATTTTACAAAGTACATGCGCATAGGGATTACTGATCACAGGCTTTAACATCATCAAAGCAATATGACATATTTTGTGCAAATACCTGTTAATGCAATGATTCTGTGAATTACAAGCACTAGCATGTGTTTTATTTATGGATCCAAACTCCAATCAATGGTTGATGCATGAGTGAGTGTGAGTGCAATCTAGGCAAGTTCTGCACTTCACACACATGACAATTATTGTCATTTCATACACAACACAAAATAAATAAATAAATAAATGAGAAAGATGGTGGAAGGAAGCAAAGCAAAGCATCTGCTCTGCTATCTGCTCGCTAAGCCATTGCCACATCCTTCTTTCTTTCTAGCTTTTTCTTCAGTCAGCCATAATCGTCATAGATCAACCTTTTTTCAAATGCTTTGCACTTTTATTCATGAGTTTATTATTATCTGTTCTCATTTTTAACAGGCAAATTTAGTAACAACGGAAATAATATTTATTTCAAAAATTATATATATTCTAGCTCCAGAGAGATAATCTGCACTCTGCACTGCTTCAAATGTGGAAGGTTTTGAGGGCCTCCTCCAATTCAACACCATTACCTTATTCATATCATTATTGACATGTTATTGACATGTTATTGACTTTATATTCATTCGTTTTTTAACATATACCCAAGCAAAAATTAACATGCAAGTGAAGCACAAAGAAGAGATGCCAAATCTAACAACATTCATGCTACAAATTGGGGAAAACGGTTACTCTAACCCTAAACTCAAATTCCATAAATTACTCACCAAATGCTGGTTATTGAACAATCGCAAGGTGTCTGTGTTGGGTCTTTGTGCGGCTTTGCTCCACAAATGGAACCTATCACTTCCAACGAATACGGCTTCTCTCCTTCCCCTTCCACTGCTTCGTCTTCACTGTTTCAGAATCCACGCCTTTGCTCCTTCCACTCAAAATAAATACTTTTTCACGGTTTAGATAGTGGAGTTGCGTTCAACCGTCGTTAACCTTTGCCTTCAACCGTCGTTGCCCGTTGCCTTCAACCGTTTCTCAGAGCTTAGCGGTTTCTCTCAGCTATGAGTTTGAGATCAATGGGTTTTTTCTGTTCAAACTTCGAACTTGCCTCTCTTTTTTTTTTTTGTTGGGACCAACTTCATTGCTGGATATTAAATTCGGGTTTGGGTTCCTCACCTACCCGATTGCACAACTTTATCCCAATTCTCCCCAGCCCTTCGATTGATCCAATGACTATAAAGTGAACCCCTTATAACTTACCCCTTATAACTTACCCCTCATTATAGTCTGCACCAAAATAAGGGAGATAATGGACCATAAAAAGATTGCATTGATTGAAGGTCATGTAGCTTGGCCCATATCCAAATGGGCGAACTGTGTACAAATTTTATAAGTTCATTTGTTTTGCACAAATGGCACCGACCTTCTTCCTAGCCTTGTGGTTAAGTGCGCTTGCATGAAACCGCAAGGTCTCGGGTTCGAAGGCTGGTAATGATATGATGCTCTTAGTGCTGGCCCTCACTATAGAATTCTCAGTGATGATCCCAAAAGAACTTCGGTCCAAATGAGGTATTTTAAAATACCTCTGTTTTTATACTCATTTACTTTGTGAAAGGTTAGGCCAATTGCATTCAAGTAAAACAATAAAAGCTTTTGTTATTTATATTTTTGTATACATTGAAAGAGAAATTCCTCTATCTTGGCGATATATATATATATATATATATATATATATATTCCTCTATATAGGCCTAAATTTTTTTGGAACCCAACAATCTTCTTTCCCTATCCAATTTCCAATACCAAATGTTCTTCCTTTCATGCGATAAACTCTTTTATAGATCAATATGTCCCAAATCATACGTTGGTTTAGGGAAACCAAATCTAGAATGATTGTGCGTCTCTTTCTATCTATAATATGATGTTCTTTAATCTTCTAATTGAAAATGAAATTGGTGGTCATTAGTGATGGGAATGGGATGGTTAGGAATTGGGTATGGAAATACCATCCCCAATCGCTTGTATGAAATTTCGGTGAAAACTACACAGAAAACTCAAATAGTCTCTGCAACTTATTCCAAACATAAAGAAACTGTCAAAAGGATGGTAGTGGAGATCCGACGACAAAACGCATGTGGAGATCTGACGCCGAGACACAACCATCTGTGATGATTGGGGGAAAATTATAACAAAACTAAAACAAATAGTAAAAACCTTCTGTCTCTGAAAATGGGGGAAGAGGAGATGGGAGGAAGAATAGTGACTTCCTTCTCCCTCAAGTAAAAAACGGCTATAGGAGTGTTTTTTGAGAGAAAATGGACTAGGGTTTCTCTTTATGTTGAAAATTTTGTTTGATTCAGTTTGTCTAAATAAAGTTTTACAAAGTTTAGGGTAACTTTTAATTGTTATATTGTGTTATATTGTATTATATTATATATTTATTAATTAAAAACAAATGCATCATTTATCGGGCTGAATTCAGAAATGGGGATAACAATATCATCACTTATCGGCCGGGCAGTGTGTATTTTGTGTAGACTGTGTGTAGCCCAAATGACAAAAAATAAGAGAGATAATGGACCACTAGCAGATTACATTGAGTGAAAGTCATGTGGCTTGGCCCATATCCAAATGGCCGAACTGTGTACAAATTTATAAGTTTATTTGTTTTGCAAAAATGGCACCGACCTTCTTCCTAGCCTTGTGGTTAAGTGCGCTTGCATGAAACCTAAAGGTCTCAGGTTCGAAGGCTGGTACTGATGATGATGGTGATGATGATGATCAGTGTTCATCCCAAAACAACTATGGTCCAAATGAGGTATTTTAAAATACCTCTGTTTTTATACTCATTTACTTTGTGAAAGGTTAGAGCAATTGCATTCTAGTAAAACAAAAGAAGCTTTTGTTATTTATATTTTTATATTCATTGAAAAATAAGTCCCTTCTATTTATCCCTAAATTTTATTGGAATCCAACAATCTTCTTTTCCTATCCAGTACCAAATTTTTGTCCTAACTTCTCTCTCTCTCTCTCTCTCTCTCTCTCTCTCATGTGATCTACTCCTCTTTTATAGATCAATATGTCCCAAATCATATGTTGGTTTATGGTTTTTACCAAATCTAGAATGATTGTGTATCCCTCTCTCCTCTCTGTCTACAATGAAGTTCTTCAATTTTCTAAAAGAAGCATCATTCTTTATAATATTCTCATTTGGATCTTTTCCATTTTCTTATAATTTGAGGCGTGACTCCGAGGTTTGATGAATTGTGACTTGATCCAAATTTGATACTGTTATAGGATTTGTGAATAAAATACAATTGTCTCACTTGGGAAAATGACTGGCCATAAAAGGGTGTATTAGTTGGGCTTAACTCAACCATGTATAGGGTCTTTTGAGATAAAATCCCACCTAGAAATTCACACGGCCTAATCAAACTTTGTATTGGCCCTAGAAATTGAGTTGAGGATTATATTAGTGCAAACTGGCAAACTGCACAATTAGTGAGGAGGACGTGTGCCACAACAATATATGTCATCAAAAAATTCAGTAGATGTTCCTTAGGAAAATCAAAGTGATTATATACAAGTTTAAAATTGAATAATATTATATTTAATAGGTTATATAGCTCTATTGGTTGAGCTCTTTCACCTTCACTTAGACTACGTGGGCAGAAGTTCGAAACTCCTAAACACTTAATGAATACTTGTGTAAACCTCCTCTCCAATCGCTTATACTAAAAAAACTGAATACTATTATATTGAAACCAATAACTTATTCCTATCAATTTGCTTTACTAATCTTAAAAGGTCCGATCACTTATTTAAAAGAGTCAATTTGATTGGTTCCATGAAATTATCATTTGAATTGGCTTGTCATGTGTAGGAATTACTAGAGATAGCACCTTTAGTTTTACAAACGAAAATAATTGAAAATGAAACTGATGGCCGTATCTGATTTCCCCTCCCTACTCACAGGTGAGGTGAGTAGCCTAGTGGGGTCTCTGCAATACATTTTCTGGTATGAACTTTTAATAATTTATTTTCTGGTATACAATACATTTTCTCTTTCCCTATGGTTAAAAGACAACCGATCTCCACCAAAGAAAAGGGTAAGTTTGATGAGTGGATCAATCAATCAGCCGCACATTTATCTGACCATGAACAGCAGTCAGCGTAAAGATATTTATGCAGTGGGACTGGGGCTTGGAAATTTGAATATGGTCTACACTTTCTGTTTTGACCATCAAATTGAATGACAGAAACTTTCCCACCCTCGATTGATTGATTCACTGTTATACAGAGACTGAACAGTCTAATCATATTAAGAGAGCCGTGATGTAGAATATAGTTCTCTTCTGACCAGATTTTGGTACCAAGTTTAAAAAAATAACCCGTTGGCAATTAATTAGAACAGCTAGGCATGCGTGCATGCAAAAGCAGAAATCAATTTCATTCAAAGTTTACAACTGGGCAGGAGGAGGTAGGGAATCTTAATGACTAAAAAAGAATGACTTTACTACAGTAAATGCAGGTTGGTGGATTGCAGTGACATAATTAGCCATGCATATCTCGACGATCTAATTTTCTACTATCTGCTGCTACTGTTTCAGTGGTGGTGGGGTCAAATTATCTTGGTTTTGAGTGAAAACCTGAAGCAATTAGCAAGATGGCCGTACAGCAAACGAACTTGGCTGGGTTTTATGGCAATTGCGCTTTAATTGTTCTGCATTGGGTACCTGACCCCAGCTGCCAAGACTCGTTGCTGCTCTATCTGCAATGCCAATGTCATACAAAAATAATCAAGGGTTGAGCTTCATATAGATAGATATATATATATGTATGGTCATAAATGAAGGAATAATTACTAGTTTAATTGTAATTACTTGGAATAATTCATGCAATTTGTTCTTGAGGTAGCAATATTCATGTTCTAGCACCTCCAAAGCTCTCAGGCACCTGAAAAAGTACATGAACAAAACCCCATATGAGAATTAATATCAAACACCATGAACAAGATGCCTATGTATTGTTATTGTTATTTGTATTATCTCAACTCATGATGCTGTTCGTCTCATCTTTATTAGAAAGATAGTACATACCCGTCGTGGGTTATTAAATTAAAGGAAGAGAAAAAGGTGTAGGGTGACTGACTGACTGACCCAGCACGGTTGTTGTGTTCAGAAGCAGCGCGAAAAGCAACGCAGACGTTTCTGATTCTCTTGGCTCCAATGCTTGAGCTGCTTCCCATAAACTGATTCAAATGTGTCCCCATTTTCTTGTAGTCCGAGAATTCTCTATCCATCCTGATCAATTCAATTCAATTCAATGTTCATATCACCAACCCATCAACCAAAATTAATTAAAATGAAGAGAGAGAGAGAGAGAGAGAGAGAGAGAGAGAGAGAGAGAGAGAGAGAGAGAGAGAGAGTCACAATAATTCTCTGAGATTTCTTAAGAGCTTCTCAGACTCATGAAAGTAGATGTTAACAACTTCAGAAACAAAGTTTGGGGAGCTCTCATCTTGGAGCTGTTGAAGCTGCAAGAATTGCTCATCCAAAACTCCCTATACAAACAACAACATGAACTATTTTTAATTTATACAATTAATTTTGATTAATCATAAAAATATAATAATTAAGTTCCAATGAAATGTTGTTAATTAACATGAAGATGAAGATGAACAAGAACCCACCTGGTGAAAGAGCATTGCGAGCAACCGATTCATGTCGGCTCGCAACCGATCAGCACCCAACCCCAACATCCACACTGGCAGACCCGTCTTGGCTGAACAAACAATAAAAATGAACAACAAAATGTTGAGATCAGATTTTGCTTTGCTTCACTAGCAGCTTCAGGGTTTAAGGTTTTTGTTGTGTTTGTGCTCTTTCACTTCATCTATATATATAAGCGGGAAAGCCCACCTGGGAAAATTTAAAGCAAGCATTGATCTAATTGGACCCCACTCCTAGCCTATAAAATTAATTAAACAAATTGTTTAATTAAGTAACTAATCTTTGCCTATATTCCAACCCAAAATTCTAAAAAAAGATTTGAATAGTTTCAGAGCGTGCAATGTGGAACATACCGAGGCGAATGTGGGGTATCAACCGGACCAGCCTACAAACCACAGGCCTCAACTCAACTTACTTAGAACGGAATAACACTATTTTGATATTTTTTATTAATAACATAATGATACGTTGAAAAATTATTCTATGTGTCATTGTGTTATTAACCGTGAATTTGCATGAGAGATTTTCTCCAACTCAACTCAACTCAGTTTAACAACCTAAATCTTATTCGACGAAAAATAAAAAGAATAAACAACCTAAACCCTATTTAAATTAAATTAAATGAGACAGAGTGAGAGAGGAGGTGGTGACCTGCTGTCCCCGTAGCCAGTGAGCCCGCGTGCTGTCTGTTGTGGCAGGTTGGTGCGGCGGTGAAGCCTCACTCCCACCCGACAACTGCCTGCACCCGGTTACTTGTCAGTCACTCACTCCATATTCCATTCCACACACACACTCCCATATAAAAAAGAATAAAAATAAGTGGAAATTAAAGCAACCCTTTTGCCATTTTTGACATATTTTATCTTTTTTGATTGAGAAAATGTTGGCTGGTTGATGTTGTTGCTTTCTTTTTGGGCTTTTCCCACTGCCAGAATTGGAGAGCCTGCTCTGCAGCGAAGGCAGGGACTTTTGGTTTTGGGAATGGGTGCTCTGAAAGAAAGAGCTAGCTTAGCCCTCCCGGTAAACAAGGTTCTCAGTGCACTGGGCACACACACACACCTGGGGGTGACAAACTCTGGGATGGGGTTGACACGTGGCAAAATGGGTAATGCTTGCTCGTTTGAGGAGCAAGCATGATGAAGAAGGGACTTTTTCAAAAGGAAGGTGGTGAATTGATGAACAAGCACAAAATTAGAGGCTTAATTTATTCCATTTTATTTGTGTCACTTATTATTTGCATGAGAAAGAAGAAGAGAACCACTCATTTTGGTGGGATTAAATTTTGATTTTGCTAATTAGTCGTGGTGACTTTTCTTAAAGTTGTAGCCAATCCCTTTTTTGTTCATTAGGTAGTAATAATGAGTAATGCTTTGTAAATCTCAAGTTATAATGGCCCAACTTCACCAAAAGGCTCTTTATTTTCTGGACCTATATACATATTGCCCTAATCACTACAAAACTTTTCCAATAATTATGTGACGGATGATAGTTTCTCTCTCCTAAGATTTAAAAGCTTCTAGAGCTCTCTTTATTTTAGGAGTTAGATAGGAAGCATAGTTGGATGTGAGTTTTCTTACTTCCTCCCTAAGAATATGGTTTAGGAAATCCATTATAGATGCTCTAAATTAATTATTTTCATGAAATCCATTCATTAAGATGTTAAATAAATTTTGGAATTACAACTGAGTAGTGTGGAGGAAGGGCCTTCATGGCCTCTTCTCTCCAGAATCATTTTGCTTTTAAAGCTTGATTGGATAAATGGGGTTTTTACCATTAAAAAAATGTAAAGTAAAAAAATGAAAAAGAAAACTGGTAAAAGTAGTACTGCACAGCCATGGCCATTTAATTCTTCATTTTAAAGGAAACTATAGAACCAAACATTTCTTGAGTATCAATTAAACTAGGGAGTTTCACTAAAACACCCAAAATGGAAGCTGAAATTATAAAAAAACCCAACACCCAAAACACTTTATAAACACACCCAAAACCCATCATTACACACACTCAAAACCCATTTATAAACACACCCAAAAAATATATAATTGTTGACTTTGGGGTTGATTTTGGATGTGTTTCTATGTTTAAATAGTGTTTGGGTTTTTTTATAAATACATGTCTAGGATTGGGTTTATTTATAAATTTGTTATTAAACTATTGATATTTGGTCGAACAGAACTATGTCATGCACTTACCATTTTACTTAAAACACCCAATAAATATTTGGTAAATCAATTACAAAGGACTCATTAGTGCAGTGATTTGGAGTAATTTCGCTCATAGAAAAGGTTTTGGGTTCGAGTCCTAGCATTCATGCAGTGTGTGTGAATTTAGTATATTATCGCTCCTCTCAATAAGAAATATCCTAAAAAAAATAATTTGGTAAATCAATTAGCATGACCCTTACAAAGATGATGTATGAAATAATTTGGTCATCCACCCCAAAAAAACATGTGGAAAAAAAAAACGTAGCAAAGAAACAGGGAAATGCTATGGAGGCTTCGAATATTCACCTTTTTTCTTCTGTGTCTCTCGCTTCTAATAAAAGTTTCGAAACTTTAAACAGAAGGCTTTTACCATTGAATGAAATAATTAGCAGACCAAAATGCATGAACATGCAGAGAGAATATAATTATCTTATATGTGTCTCGAAATGGTAGACATATTTTTTACTTAATCTGCACAAAGTGTGCAGGAACCATCCTAATCTAGATTAACATATATTATGGGTTTAACCATAGTTCATTTTATTTTAATATATGAAGCATGTTAATTAATTACTTTGTTAATAACTACCTCGGCTTGCTCACATGAAAAGCATGCTTTGACGTAAGCAAACTCTATCATAGATATGGGTCCATTTTTACTTGGATAAATTGGATGCAGGACACCAATTGACTGACTCTTAAGAGGGATTGTCGGTAACAGGACTCGAATCTAGACTTTGATCGAGTAAAGAACGATCCTTACTAACTCAACTAACCTTTATTGACATTATTTATTTATTTTTTGGGTGTGAAGGTTTATATCTTTATTTTTAGGTAAACAACCTAAAATCATTCTCAAATTTGTTGTTGTTTAATTATAGGTCATGTAAGTCTCGAGATACAACAACGTTGGGATAATAACACTTCAAAACTAGTTATCATTATGCAACCAATATTGTATCATATGAATTTGTACTGCTAACTAGCATGCCAAAATTATTAATCACTTTTACTACTAATGTGGTACAGCCAAAATGATTAAAACCCAAGAATCTTTTCTTAAACAACTTTTGGTGCTTTTGCTTATTGGATTAGAGGAACAATGCATGTAATTTATGTAAGAAAATAAAAAAAGAAATGCTTTGTTTTTTTTTTTTTTTTTTTTTTTTTTTTTTTTGTATTGACGTAAGCAGACCATTGGGTAAGGCACAAAAATTGCTTCTTTATAGGAAGCACTTTTCATGGCGATTATTTTTTTTTCTAACCCATGAAGACATTAGGTGCTTTTGCAAATATAATATGAAACCGTAGACTTCATAACCATGCTTCTTGTGCTCCCGTGCTTATTTACTATGGCCTTTATCCATTCAAGACACATTCTTCCTTTTTGTCTTATTACTAAAACTTTTTCACTCTTTCAGCTTTGAAGTTCCAAATGCTAGTACAAAAGATTCCTAAATTCCTTTAGACCCTATGGGGTGTGTAAAGAGTACTTCATCAGAAAGCTATGGGGTGGGATTATTAGGAGGGTGTTTTTATATTGTAGTGGAGATGAAACTCATTGCTCGAGATAGTAAAAAATTTGAACCCATTTAGTCTGAGTTCGTGTTTTCAAAACCCTCTTTTTCAGGTAGAAGTTAGACAAATTGATTGACGTAGACACTTAAAATTGTGCTATATGACAAAGAAATAGGGACAAGAAAAATATCAACGTAGGTGTCACTCATATCATTTGTGCTTAATGTACATAGTATACGAGAAATTTTATGGAATCGGCACATATATAAATTCCTCAAAAACAATATATTTTTTTTGTATATATATATCATGTATGGAGTTGCTTACACAAATTTCTTATCAAGAAAAGGAAGAAAAAAAAACTACACAAGTCAATGCTCAAACGCCCCTTTTCATAAAAAGGAAAAAACTCAAACGCCCACGATTTACTTGAAATTCACACGGCCAAGCTTGCTTAGTTAAAAGCCATTCTTTGTTTGTGGGCCTCTGTGGGTAACTTCACGTCAGTTGCCAATCCAATAGCTTGGAGAAATCTCACAACATACCAAGTCATGTCAAGCTGCCACCAATTGAGGCCATGTCTAGCTGAGTACTCAAAAGCATGGTGATTATTGTGCCAACCCTCTCCAAATGCTAATAATGCCACCCACCTGAAATTAACATTTCTTTTAGAATCCAAACTATCTAAAATTTAAAGAAAATTCTCTCAAATACTATTATTATTGTAACAAAATTCTCAATAGCATTATTATTGTAATATTATTTGAGAGCCTTTCCCAAAACTAGACTAGCAATTAAGCCCAATAGGGCTTGAACTCAGCCCAAACCCATGAAGTTGAGTGGATTAACAACAAAAAGGTCCTACATTGATATGGACAAATTTCTAACAAATTATGTTGAGAGAATGTACACATCTACAAGCGAAAAATTTGGGTGGGAACTTCCCTATCATAGATCGAGTGGTAAACTTTGTCTGGTTAAAATTGTGACATTATACTTTACCACTCGGTCTGCTATGAAGTTCCCACCCAACTTTTTCTCAAACTCTTGGAGGGTTTAGAGATATAGTAGTACCAATTGTTCCTGGACAAGTCACTAGTATTCCATGCTTGCTTTCCCCACACGTGGCAAGCCGAGTTAACCAGCCATGTAATGTGGTATACCCATATAATTCTCACACCCTGCAATAGTTAATTTGCAACAAAATGATGTCTAAGACTGTTTGATAGGCTCACAAGAAAGGCTTTAGAAAAAGCAAAAAATGAAAGCCATTCTTACCATTCCCCACACAAGGAATGGGAATCCTCCCATTGCATACAGTAGAACTCCAAGAGCAATGGGGTGAGCAATGTAAGTTTTCTGAATGAGCTGATAGAAGGGCTGCTTCTCTAAATCCCCAGCATTATTTGATCCCCCACACTGACAATGTTCAAGCATGAAATATTCATTAGAAAGAAGAAGAAGATAGAATAAATTTACGTTTTGCATATAATTAAAAGGAAAGAAAGAAAAGAAACAGAAGTTCATACCCTTTCAGCCACAGAATTGGTATCAAAGAGCCAACTAATGTGACTACACCAGAAACCTTCAATTGGGCTATGTGGGTCTCTCTCTGAATCACAAAACTGGTGGTGGTACCTATGTGTGCTCACCCAATCAATTGGGCTCCCCTAAAAACCCAAAAATTCAAACAATCACAAAACAGAACCATCAAAACTTCAGAAAGAAAAAAAAACATCTTCCTCAGAATCAAATTCAAATTGCACCCACCTGAAGTGCTTGAACTGCAAAATAAGCAAACAAGTATTCAAGCCACTTGGGGAGCTTGAAACTCTTGTGTGAAAGATTCCTATGATAAGAAAGAGTGATGCCAAATAGACCAGTCACAACATAAAGTGCCACTGCCACCCAAAAAGCTCCCCAATTGAATTGAAAAGGTGCAAAAAGACTGAGTAAATGCATTGCCAAAACAACACCAGCTGTGGCCATATCCCTTAATTTCCATTCTCTCCCCATAAACACATTCCTAGGCCTCTTCACAATCACATCAGACAATAGAATTCTCCTATACTTCCCTGGCTCTGTATCTGCCTCTGGGTCTGTGGCTTCAGACAAAGCTGCATTGGTACTTATTGTTGGTACTGTTCTATTGGAATTGGTAAGCAAATGGCGGAAAAGCTTTGTGCTTGTTAAAAACTTATTGGGTTGTGATTGTTTTGAATCATAATGAACAAAATTTAGGACCTTGGAACTCTGAGGCAATGGCCTGAACCCCAAAACGGCTCTTCCTGGCCGGTTAAACGTGCGGTGAAGAGGGAAACAATGGTGGGTTTTGGGATTGGACGGTGGTGATGTGATCAAATCCATGGAGGGGGAAGGCTTGTTGGGGTTTGATACTCAATTGGATTTTTAACAAAACCGGCAAAATTTAATATATAAAAAAACTCTACAGATTTGGGGTTGATGTTTTGGTGGGGCAGAGGGTTTGTGACTTTGTGGTGGAGTCAAGTTTCTTAGATTTTGTTGAAGTTAATTGTGGACTGAAAGGGAGAGAAAGAGACAAAAAGGATTATATGATAAGGCGGCGTTTGGGTTTTGGGCTTTTGTTTTGGGTTGTGTTCAGATTGACAGAGCCTTTAAGATCCAGATATTTTTTATCCCATTTTTACAATTTTTTTCTTTTCAATTTTGTAACATTTGTTCTTATTTGTTAGAAGGGTAGGATATTTCTGTAAAATTTGTGTCTCAGATTGCTCCTCTGCTTATTTGTCATTATCTCCCTCCTCCAAGTATCTATTTTTCTTCTTCTTCACTGCACACTTGCCCAACTGATGAGGGATTAACCTACAACTATCTCTCTTTCTTCTTGCTGTGTCTTTGGCAGTTGGGGAAAAGCAAGAAAGTGTGATTCATGGCAGCAACAAAAGCGTCAATCTTTGCGTCTTCCACACAACCTTTTCCAACCACACCGTCCATTTTTGGAAGCAAAGCAAGCCCTCCTGTTTCAAACACTCTTGGTATGTTTTTCCTTCTTAATTGTTCTCTGGAACTGCTTCTAACTGTTGGGTTTATTTATTTGCAGACTTTGGATTCTAGAAAGAAATTTAGCACTATAATCTTTTTTGTGGGTTAGTGTCAAAAGTTTATGATATGCCACCAAAAAGAAAAAGTGACCTTGGAAACTTCACAACCAAAATTGGTATTGAAATTTGCGGACAAGCTTCATTTGCTGACTTTGTACTCATAATAGTTTTATCTTTACCTTTGAGTGCTGGCAATTAGAGGGAAGGCTTCTTTGAAGTGGGTCCTTGTGTGGTGTTTACGTGTCCTTTAAATGATAACAATTCATCTTTATCTAAGTTGAATTTGAAGAAGTCATCAGGATTAGATGCCACTATAAATTTATCTTAGTGTCAGCCCCCAGTTGCTTTCCTATGATAAAAATGGAAGAGCAACAGGGCATGCAGAAACTCAATCTGCTAAAGCCCATCTCATCACAGAGTTTAACTAAATTTGAACAGGTTTGATCGTTTACTGAATTTGTTTTTCTCTTTTCTTTTTGGGTGTTTCTGATAGTATCTAGAAAGCTGTTTGCAATATCAAACATGTTTGATTTGTAGCATGATCAAAAAAATTGTCTGTTCATATTTCGATTTCTATGCTGCACAAGAAATAAATGTTTTCTATTCATATTGTCAGATTTATGTTTTTAGATTAAGACTTCAAATTCTTAACAGTTCTACAATCTAATGCAGCTAGCAGTTTTAAGGGATTTTCGTTGCCAAGGCGTCCTTCGATAAGGAAGCAAGTCGTCAAGGGCAATGGGAAAGTTAGTGCTGCTGCAGCTACAGTTGTAGTAACTCCTGTGGAGGAGCCCAAAGAGTATGAGTTTTAAGTTTCCCTTACTGCAATTGCATTACCACATTTACTTATTATTGCTAAATCTTGACTTTCTTTCTCTTTGTGGGATTTCCAGTCAATTTGGTTTGAAATAATGAAATGAAATGTCATCTGCATTTCACATGGGCATGGTGTCTGAAATAATTAATCATGGCCCAGCATTTCAATATATTTCTTTGCCTCCTCCTTGAGAAGCTGATTTATAATCATTTAAAAAATGTAAACTCCCTCATTTCAGGGTCACACTACCATCATGGGCCATGTTTGAGCTTGGGAGGGCACCTGTATATTGGAAAACCATGAACGGCCTTCCTCCAACCGCTGTAAGTATTGCACTGGTGCACAACTCCCTTGGGTTTTCGTTATTGCCATTCTCTTATACTAAAAGCATTCACAAACTTTGACAGGGAGAAAAGCTAAGGATTTTCTACAACCCAGCTGCAAGTAATATTGTTCCAAATGAAGAATTTGGGATTGCATTTAATGGTACTTTTCATACACCATGTTCATATGTCTTATGCCCACTTACGAGTGCAAACCAATTTGATTGTCCATAGCTTGTTTTTATGTTCACACATGTTTCTCTACTATGTTTTGCCATCACTCCATAGCTGCATAAACTCTTAGACTGCAATAGTTGTCTAAAACTACTAATTCCTGTACAAATTCTTTTTCTCCCCTTCCAGCAATGATGTTCCCTCTTGACTTCACTTAGGAGCCATGAGGGATTTTTAGCAATGCTCAAATGAATGATTTGGTGTTTGTCTTGACTCCTAATGCTGCTTCTATGGGCTTTGGAGCTTCGAAATTCTCCCAAATTCAGTTACTTAATTCATGTTTCATTAATATTTTCTCCTCATGCCCTAACAGCGTAAACTTTTGAACTACTACTCTAAAAGAAATAGACCCATGACAAGTTGTTTTGGTTTTCCTTCTAAAAGAATTTGTAACAATGCTCAAATAAATGGTTTGGAGTTTTGTCTTGGCTCCTTATGCTGCTTCTTTGGGCTTTGGAGTTTCGAAATTCTCCCACATTCCATTCATGTTTTTCTACTATGCTCCTCCCTGATTCCCTAACAGCTAAGCTTGTGAAGTAAAATGGTTGTCATGTAATCATATCTGCTTTATAAATTCCATTATTTTTCTTCCAGCATTATTGTTCCCTCTTGACTCCACTTATGAGCCATGAGAGATTTTTAACAATGCTGAAATAAACGATTTGGAGTATGTCTTGGCTCCTTGTTCTTCTATGCCTTTGGAGCTTCGAAATACTCCCACATTTCAGTTACTTCATTCGTGTTTCTCTGTTATGTTCTATCCCCTTCCCTTTTTGTTTTTCTTTTGTAAAACTATATTCCAGAATATTGTAATCATGTATCATTATAATTCATAATTTGTTATGTGTAACTGACAATTTCACTATTATAACCCCTTGATTGGTTATGTCCTACTTTTGCTGCTAAAAGCACAGCTGAATTTGCCCTCCTTTTGCAAGTGTTAGTGTCACAGTTGCATTTCCTTGACTTGGTTGTTTTCGTCCTCACAGGAGGTTTTAATCAGCCTATAATGTGTGGGGGTGAGCCAAGGGCAATGCTTAGTAAAAGTCGAGGCAAAGCTGATTCCCCAATATATTCCATTCAAATATGCATTCCCAGGAATGGTTAGTATCGTTCGCTTAAGTTCATCTTTCAATTTTTTGCCATATAATTTTGTTTTTCCTAATGGACTGACTGATCATAATTATGCAGCCCTGAACTTAATCTTTTCATTTACAAATGGAGGTGATTGGGATGGTCCTTACAGGCTACAATTTCAAGTTCCTAAGGCTTTGAGAAACAAACCGATTGAATTCTTTAATGAGGTAAAAATATTCTGTCAAAGTTTGAATCTACTATCTGTAGCTTCAAATTCTTGACTGCAATTTTTTACTTTATGCTGCTCAAGGCCAAGTTCAAGGTTAAATGGATAATGAATAAAGTTGAAAGCATTAAGAAAAATATGATTTTATAAAAATTTGGAAACTGGGCAGAGCAAGTGGTTCTGAAATAAATAATCGACTAGTTAGAAGTTGCTGGTTAAACAAAAACTGTAAGACAGGTTTGACAGGTGTGTAGGATTTTAGAAAAATAGATAGATGTACTTTTATTTTGATACTATAAGGAAGAAGAATTGGTGCAGTACTTGTGATATCTGCTATCAGAATTACTTTGTAAACACCTATAATGGACAAAATGCAATTAGTTTACTGCATCCTGAAAGTAACTGGATGATGAATTTATGGCAGGGATTAACAGAAGAGTTGAGTAAAGACGGCGCGTGTGAAAGAGCAATCTTTCCCGATACTAGCGTTGTCGTAACAAGATGCACTATGATTGGGAATTTGAATGTTGAAGGAGTAAGCAAATTGTTCATATTCACAACTTCACTAGTTTCTTTGTCCCTATAATCCAAGTGTTAAAGCTATTTTCTAAATTTAACGAGTGTCATGCCATTGCAGGGCGATCGTTGCAACCTTAATCTCGTACCGGGATGCACAGATCCTAGTTCACCCTCTTATGACCCGCTTGCCAATGTAGATGATGGATCATGCCCAATTGAGCTAGATTCTGACTCTCAGTAGTATTCTGCAGTTAGTACCTGCTCTTCTCGCTCGTAAATACGTCAGTGTGTGCAATACATATATACGGTGTCAATGTCTGTAAAAGGCCTGTGTCTTGAGGTATGGTGGAAACTATACTGATTTCCTAAAGAAATGTGAATGTATACTAGTTGGATATATCAATTTTAGACTCTTGCCCACCAGTCAACTCCTCTAATAAGGAAAATAACTAAAACACTTTTGTGTGTGTTTAAACAGAGAAGAGGTGCATGAAAATCACATTGAAAATGCCATTTTAAAGCAGATGATATTATGAAAACCACATGACGGCATGCGAATTGACATTTTTAGTTGTCATGATGGCTTCTTGAAAATGGAAGTTCTTTTCGAATTACCAAAATACATGAATTTTAATCCCTTACGACAAGGAATTAGGCATGTGAATGTTGCGATGCATGCCATCTCTCCTCCTCTGTTCCAAAATGTGAGGTGGGAACGTGAAGTGCTGTAAGGCTTATAAGCCCACAACTTTAAAAACCCAGATTCATACCACCACTATAGGCAAACAGACTCACCCACATATAACTCCCTACTGATTGGAGTCATTCTATAGTGTGTGCCTTATTAAGGCCTTTAGGTGAGGTCCTATCTTTTGAACGTTGATAGAGGTCCTATCTTTTGAACGTTGGATCAGGCTAATCAATTTGATCCAACGGCAAACTAATTTGATGCAACGGTTAAAAGATAAGGTCTCACCTAAAGGACATCTATAAGGCTCTCACTATAGAATTTTTGCTATTGATTGACCAAAAAATATAAAAGGATATGAAAGTTCTTCCAAAACAAAGATTGGAAATGGGGAGGAGCCGAACCCCATTATCCCCTCTAAAATCTGTCCCACAGTACAGTCAAAACTCTCTTTTTCTTTCTGTTCTTTTTACAAAGCTTTTTTGACCAGTTGTTCACTTTAACAATGTGACGGATTTAAGAAAGGATAATGAGATTAGGCTTCTCCCCATTTCTAATCTTTGCTGTACAAGAGTTTATATAATAATTTTTTATGTTTTTTTGTCAATGGATTAGTTAGCTATATAATGGAGGGGTCATTTCACCCTTCTTATACTAAAATGTGAGCGCTATCATTGGATTTCAAAAAATATTTCGGAGTTTTTTTTTGTCGAAAATTTTTCGGAGTTACTGATAGCACTTTGTTGGTACCAATTTTATTAGAAACATGAAATAGTATCATGAAAACCCCAAAACTTTTTTATTTTTATATTTACTAGAAAGTAATCTCAATTATAATAAGACTAGACAAATAAGTAAGTGACCAAAATCCTAACATAATAAGGAACCAAAATCCTAATTAAATAAGGACTCGTCAACAGATTTGACGTTTCCATGTGTTCACAGAAAGAAAGCCTCTTTGGTACCATTTGGTGTAGTTGCTTTTGATCTCTTGCTTTCTTCATACTTGCCTGCCAGAGAATCAAAGAGAAAACCAGCCCCAACCCCTACAGCCAAGTCTATTGTGTAGTGGCCCCTTGTTCCCAGCAACCTCAGTGCTTGTAGCACATTCAGTGCATCAAATGTCCATGCCATTTCCCATCTCTGCATTCTCCTCATGTCCAAAGATGCAATCACACACCCTGCTACATGCCCTGAGAAGAAAAGAAAAAACGACACATTGCCAACTGGGAAGTCTGCGCTGGACCCCAAAAATCCCTTCCAACACAAAATTTGAAACACAATGCCCAAAATGTGAGATTGGTCAGTACGTGAGTAACAAATGTGTGTGTGATATGTAGATGAATATTGATGGGGATTTTACCTGAGGCAATGGAAGTCGGGTAGAGCAGCCGAGGATGCCCCGGAATGTGGACATGAAGAGCGCTGTGATTGTGGCTCTTGGGCGGCCCTCTGCTAGCCATGTCCATAGAATATATGTTATGTGCATTCCCACAAACACCTAGAGTAGCAAAATGTCATTCAACTTCGCAGTATTAATTTGCATAGCAAATCCTGTGTCTTACAACCCAAAATTGTAAAGAGAATCAAAGTCTCTGAAATCTAGGTAGCTCACAGTTTCCAAATGCAAATGCAGCCTCTGTCAGAAGAGAAATGTGATGGTTGTTCTTTCTAAATATGACAAAATAATTAAATTCACAAATCACAACAAAACCTCACCATATAAGATTACAAGTTATAACTCTACATTACAAGACAAAATATAAAGATAATTAGAATTAGTACCGTGTTAAGACCAGCGAGAAATGTATTGAGCTTGGGCTTGGAAGCCAGGAGGAGGTGGAGGGAGCGCGTGGTGACGAAGCCGACATCGAAGGGTGGAGACGACGAGGGAACCATTCCGAGTGTGAACTCGACGCTCCCGAAGAAGAGGAAGCCCATTGCGAAGACACAGGGTATCCAATGGTGCTTGGCCGCGTAGAGGACGTCATGCAGCCTCCAGGTCATGAAGGAGGCCTTGCCGCCGTAGACATGGAGCTTCTTGGAGGAAGAAGAAGAAGACGACATGATCAGGTCCTGCTGCTTTTGTGCCGAGGCTTGAGGGCTGAAAGAAACGGCGCCGTTCATTTGGAGGGGCAACTGAGAGGCTTTTTCTCTTACTCTCATGGTCAGACTCTGGAGTGGATGCACAACTGCCACTTTATTCCTTGCTTTTCTCTGGTTTCTTCTTTTCTTCTTTTCTTCTTTTCTTCTTTTCTTTACTCTGCTCTTGTTTTTCCTTTGTCGGACGACGGATACCCGTAGGCGACGCCGACTGGATACTCGTGAACCTGTACCCGTACCTGTAACTAGTTGGGTATCTTGTGCAAAACTCCTCTTCAACATGCTCAACTGTGTTTCACATACATAGCAAGTAGCATCGATCCATGCAAAAAATACGCACACATTTACACAAAAGCTACAAAATGTTACACAAAAAGGAAATAGAGAAGGTACAATTTGGAATGCCTGAGTCTTTTTTTTTTCCGTCGAAACTATGTCAGAGTCTTGGGACAAAAAAAATATTATGCTTTTATTTATTTATTTTAATTTCATATTTCTCTTTCTAAAGTGTTATATTGCCCAATTTAAAATTAATTAATTCTATTTTCTAGACTGGGTAATTTTCCAGTTATTCCTAAAATTGAACTTCTATGCCATTACTTTGCCTGTTTAAATTCTAATTAAACTAAATAATCTTATGGCTTTATATTTTCCCGTTTTCCTTGAACTGTAATTACCGAACTTGATTATATCCATTCATATTCCTCTAGACCAGATGTATGAACAACTAAGTACAATTTGGACTTGAACCTTTTTCTTTTTCTTTTTAATAGAAAAAATGGTATTGCATTAAACCCAAAGAGAACATTACATGGTAAGAAGGAGTATGTGGTGGCCTCATTAAAACCTTTCCGGGGAAAACCACAAGGGATAAAACCCTGAGGTAGGAAAGAACACCACTCATACTAATGATTAAACATAAGAGTCAACACCCCTATTACAAAGTCAGACAAAACGAGACCAATCCTCCCTAACGGCATCTTAAACTTTAACATACTGAACTTGATTATATCTATTCATATTCCTTTGGTCCAGATGTATGAACAACTAAGTACAATTTGGACTTGAACTTTAACATACCGTGAAATACATAGTTGACTAATTAGAAACGATGAGACAGGTTTGACAGGTGTGGAGGATTTTAGGAAGAAAAAAAGTAGATGGATGGACTTGTGAAGAATTGGTGCAGTACTTGTGATATCTCTATTAGAATTAGAATTAGAATTACTTTATAAACACCTTGTTTGGACCTAAAATGGTAAGAGGCCCATTAAGGGATATTAGAGCCACATGGGTTTTGTTTCGAAATTGTAAAATCAAGGCTTAATTATGTACATGCCCCCTGTGCTTTCCAACTTATCTCAGATTACCACCTGTGTTTGAAAACGTCTCAAAGTACCCCCCCAACGTGCAAAAAACCGTCTCACGTTACCCTTTCCATCAGTTTTTTTGAAGTTTCGTTACGAACGTTACTGTTCAGCTCCCCCAAAATTCCAGAACAGTAGTCCCTCCCCTTTGTTACTGTTCATCGCTTATTTACCCTCCAAAACTCAGAAATTTCTCCTAACCAACACACTAGCAGCAAGAACAACTCGAGAGGTTGAAAAATCATACCTGGATCGAAGAAAATGGTGCTCGAAATCGCCCGAACGAGCAATGGAGATTTGGGTAAAAACCGGCCAATTTCTTGCTTTTTTCGGTGATCCAGACGACTGTTGGTAGCGGCTGAGATGTGAGGGTGGTAGAGGACAACGTGCTGGTTCTTTTGATATCCATGTCGTCGCTTGGGGTGGCCAGAGGAGGCGATGGCAGCCCAAAAACTGGTCAGATGAACAGTAACAAATGAGAGGAGCTGCTGTTCTGGAATTTTGGGGGAGATGAACAGTAACGTTCGTAACGGAACTTCAAAAAAACTGACGGAAAGGGTAACGTGAGACGATTTTTTGCACGTTGGGGGGTACTTTGAGACGTTTTCAAACACAGGTGGTAATCTGAGATAAGTTGGAAAGCACAGGGGGCATGTACATAATTAAGCCTAAAATCAAATACAAAAGATTGAAGCCGAAGGTCAAATTAGCCCAAGGACTAACTTTTTCAGAAAAAGTCGTCGTTTATATTTATTAAAAAAAAACAAACAAACAAAGGTTTTACCCTGTTAAAGATGCGACTTCCAAAATTAAAACTCAAAGTTGACTTTGATTGCTGAGAAAGAGTCAAGTAGCAAAAGAAAGGCTAAGCAACCACATTAAATGCGATTTGAACCGCGAGACTCATTAGCACCAACTTGTTAAGAACAACCATGCTTAGTGTAGTTCACAACCAAAGCTCGAAGATCACTACACTCAAGTTCACCAGTTTTGTTACAAAAAACTAGGAAGACTTATAAATAAACTCAAAACGAGTGAAGTATTTATAAGAATGACAAAATTAAAGTGTTTGGACAATAATGCCCTTATTCATTTCTGGATTTCCCAGGAGATCCTGTTGTTGCGCAGTAATAACAGTTGGACATATGCAAAGTCTTCACATGCCCTGCTTGCTTGAAGACAAAATCTTAAGATGCTGATGGCTTAGGAAAGGGCTGTAGGACTTGCATGTCTCTAAAGCTAAAGATAATGGGCTCTTTTGCCATTTTGAAAAGTTTTTGGGTGTTTTTGAAAGCTGGCTGCTTCTTTTGGGTTTTTTTTTCCTAAATTTCGCAAAAAACTAACACCAAATTGAGCCACCTCTTCACCAAATGTGCAATTTCAAGAGCCAAGGAGCTTATAAATAAAAGCACACCCCAAGGCTTGCAGGGCACACAATCAACTCAAGTTTTCTTCTTAGAAAAAGACTTAAAACTCGATCAATCCTTGATCACGTTGAACTCAACAAACCTCTCTTGCACCAAGATAACCAGTTGACAACTTCTGATAGTTATCTTTTTAGTTTATTGCTCTACCAACACTTGGTATTGATTCCTAGTTGCTAGGCTTTGTTTACTTCAAGCATTAGTATTTCAATTTATCAGATTTACTTACTCTCTTTCCGTTTAAAGTCTGTAACTGCAATGTACTGAATTGAGAAATCTTCAGTTCAGAGTTGTTGGCTGTCATTTTACTTTCATTTTGCATTCATAATGAATTGAATAAAGAAATATTCAATTCCAAATCATGCCTTTCAATTGAATTTTAAGTTTAAAAGCAGTCATTTAGCATTTTACACTTGTTTTCTTTTATTATCGGACTAGAAAAAGTCAGAAATTGGCTAAGGATTTTCCAGCCCGATCTGCCAATATCCAGTTCAATCATGGATTTTCCAACCCAGTATAAGCATTTCTAGCCCGATCAAGGGCTAATCCTTCAGGATATGAACAATACCAACGACATAAGTAGAATTTGAAAGTCCTTAGTTCATACAAGGCCCAGTCCCCATTCAGTGCACAATGGCTTGATTAGAAGTCTGATTTAAATCACTAACAATACATCATTAAGCAACTAATCTCTTTATGTTGGGCTAATCCAAGTTTCAATAGTGGCACGCCTATCGCAAACTAGATCATTTCAGGGCCTATTACTTGGGCCTCAAGCAAACTCGCGTGCTAACTTGATCCAACAAGAAGAGAGGCTATAACACTATTCAGTGTGCCTGGTCCCACATCTTTTTTCTCTGAGGTAAACACACCTATAATGGACAAAATTCAATCAGTTTACTGCGTCCTGAAAGTAACTGGATGATGAATTTATGACAGGGATTAACAGAAGAGTTGATTAAAGACGAAGTATGTGAAATAGCAATATTTCCTGATACTAGCGTTGTCGCAACAAGATGCACTATGATTGGCAATTTGACAGTTGATGGAGTAATCAAATTGTTCATATTCACAAATTCATTGGTTTCTTTATCCCTATAGTCCAAAAATTTTGTTTTGGCCATGGTTTGTAGTTGTCTACTTGTTGCTTCTTCTGTTGCAGGGATGGTCATGGCGGCTGCATTTTCTTGTTTTGTTTTAGTTGCTAGGGTTTAGTTTGTTTTGGGCCTGTTGGATCTTTGCTATGTTGGGCTTTATTTGTAACCCTTTCTTATGAATGAAAGTCCACTTTAACCAAAAGATAAGAGAAGCTATTCTCTAAAATTTAACTAGTGTCATGCCATTGCAGGGCGATCATTGCAACCTTAATCTTGTACCGGGATGCACAGATCCTAGTTCATCCTCTTATGACCCGCTTGCCAATGTAGATGATGGAACATGCCCAATTGAGCTAGATTCCGACTCTGATTAGTATTGTGCAAGTAGTACCTCCCTTTCTAGCTCGTAAATACGTCAGTGTGTGTATTATACATATATACGGTGTAGAAAAGGTCTCTGTCTTGAGGTATGGTGGAAACTATACTAAGATTTTCATACAAGCCATAGGTGCAATGTCATCCATACCATGCTATTCAAGTCAGCATTGTCTTGCTGCTGATTTCCTAAAGAAATGAAAATGTATACTAGTGGGATATATCAATTTTAGACTCTTGCCCATCATTCAACCCCTTTAGGAAGGAAAAGAGCAACACTTTGGTTTGACTTTAAACTAAAAAGAAGGGGCATGAAAATCACATGGAAAATGCTATGTTTAGAAGCAGGAGATATTATAAATAAAAAAATCACATTTAAACATGTGAATTGAAATTTTGGTTGTCATGATGATGGATACTTGAAGATGGAAGTTCTTTTCGAATTACCAAAATACATGAACTTCAATTACTTACGGCAAGGAATTGCGCATGCGAATGTTGTGATGCATGCCATCTCTTTTCTTTTTGGTTCCAAAATGCGAGTTGGGAAGCTAAAGTGCTATAAGCTTACAACTTTTAAAACCACCATTATAGGGGAAAAGACTCACCGACTATATAGCTGCCTATTGATTGGCCAATAAATATAAAAATATAAAAGTTTTTCCACAACAGAGATTGGAAATGGGAAGGAGCCCAACCCCACTATCCCTTCTTAAATCTGTCACATTGTTACGCTCAAAACTCTCTTTTTCTTTCTAGTCGTACAAAGCTTTTGACCAGTTGATCTCTTTAAAAATTTGACGTGTTTAAAATGCGACCGCAGTAGTGGTTTGGAGCAAATTCCCTTTCGGAAAAGGTCCTGGATTCGAGTTCTAGTATATGTATAGTGCGTGTGTGAGTTTAATATATTATTGCCCCTCTCAAAAGAAATGGTCCTTAGAAAACAAATTGTGAGCGTAGTCATTGGATTTCAAAAAGACAAAAAGGAAACAATATTTGGGAGTTACATATAACACTTTTGTTGGTAGCAATTTTATTAGAAACACGAAAATATCATGAAAACCCCGAAACATTTTGTATTAACTAGAAAGCACTGCGTATAGCACACTGAGAACCCTATAAAGCACTTTTGGGTACTTTCCTTCCTCTACGATAAACACTTCTAACACTGCCAAAGCTACTTCCAAACACACCCTGAAGAACTTGGGCAGAAGAGTAGAAAGGAAATTAAAAAAAATGAAGAATGGGATATTTTAAAGAACAAAAAAAGAAGCAAAATACATCAAAAGGGCCCCAGTACATTGAGCTCTCTCTGTCTCTATACAATCCAATACGCCTACTTTCTTTTCTTTTCTTAATTAGACTTGACCTTTCGACGTTTAATAAATAAATATGCACCAAAAACATACCCATATTCCTACTCCAAACTACCTGCCAACAGTCCATCTGTTCACAGAAAGAAAGCCTCTTTGGTACCAGTTGTTGTAGGTGCCTTTGATCTCTTGCTTTCTTCATACTTGCCTGCCAGAGAATCAAAGAGAAAACCAGCCCCAACCCCCACAGCCAAGTCTATTGTGTAGTGGCCCCTTGTCCCCAGCAACCTCAGTGCTTGTAGCACATTCAGTGCATCAAATGTCCGTGCCATTTCCCACCTATGCATTCTCCTCATGTCCAAAGATGCAATCACAGACCCTGCTACATGCCCTGAGAAGAAGAGAAAAAACGACACATTGCCAACCGGGAAGTCTGCGCCGGACCCCAAAAATCCCTGCCAAGTTGCCAATACAAAATTTGAAACACAATGCCCAAAATGTGAGATTGGTAAGTAAGTAGCCAATGTGGGATATGTAGATGCATATTGATGGGGGTTTACCTGAGGCAATGGAAGTTGGGTAGAGTAGCCGAGAATGCCCCGGCATGTGAACATGAAGAGGGCTGAGATTGTGGCTCTTGGGCGGCCCTCTACTAGCCATGTCCATACTATATACGTTGTCTGCATTCCCACAAACACCTAGAGCACAAGAGATTAATTAAACACAAAACAGGACAGCAAAATGTCATCAATTTTGCAATAATTGCATAGCAAATCCAATGTCTTTGAACCCAAAATTGTGAAGAGAATCAAAGTCTTTGAAATCTATGTAGCTCACAGTTTTCAAATGAAAATGCAGTAAAAATTAATCACAATGCCTTAAGAAAAAAAGAAAAAACATTTACAGAAATGTTCTTGTCAGACTCTGAATTTTGGACCTGGGTGGCAACACAGCATACCCCATACATAAATTTAAATCTGCAGCCACTGACCAGAGAACAAAGAAAATTAAATGTAGCCTCTGTCAGAAATGTGATGGTTCTTTCTAAAATGACAAAAACCCATTTGCCCAGAAGTGCCAAAATAGTTAATTTCACAAATCACCACGAAACCTCTCCATACAACTCTAAACATAACAAGACAAAGCAAACCCAGAACAAGAAAGGGGGAGAAAAATACAAAAACAATGTCAATTTAAGGAATTAATTTAAAAAATTATAATCATTTTTTTTTCTTAAAAAGATAATTAGAATTAAATTAGTACCGTGTTAAGACCAGCGAGCAAGGTGTTAAGCTTGGGCTTGGAGGCCAAGAGGAGGTGGAGGGAGCGCGTGGTGACGAAGCCGACATCGAAGGGTGGAGACGACGAGGGCACCATTCGGAGCGTGTACTCGACGCCCATGAAGAAGAGGAGGCCCATTGCGAAGACGCAGGGTATCCAATGGTGCTTGGCCACGTGTAGGACATCATGCAGCCTCCAGGTCATGAAGGAGGCCTTGCCGCCGTAGACACGGAGCTTCTTGGAGGAAAAAGAAGAAGAAGAAGAAGACGACATGATCAGGTCCTGCACTTGGAGGACCTCCGAGCTGTGGTTTGTGGGAACGACGTTAAGGGGCTTGCCGTTTGAGGCCCTTTTGTGCCGAGGCTTGAGGGCTGAAACGGCGCCGTTCATTTTGGGGTGCAACTGGAGTAATGTGGGGGTTGGATTGGAAGATAGAGGCGCTTTTTTGATGCGGCGAGATTGCGGGAGCGTGGATATGGTGATATTTATATAAATTAGAATTTATATTTAATTTAATTTATATTTGTTTTTAATACGAGGTTGGAGAGCGGAGTTTCCAAAGAACAGGTGTTGGTTCCAATAAAAAAATAAAAAATTAGAAGGATAGGTTTCTTCATAATTTAGATTAGATTCAAATAAAATAGCGCTTATATAAAAAAAATATTTAAAAACAATAAATAAATAACAGAAGAAGAAAAGTGGTCGGTTTTTTTATTTTTTTGTTGTAGGGAAAAGTTGTGGGTTGAAGGTTGCTGGAAGTTGAGAGTAGAGAGTTGAGAGAGTGAGATCTAAGGGAGAGGAAAGGGTGTACTATGTGTAGCTGGTAATTGGATATCACGAGTAAATTCTCTCTCGAGATTAGCCAATCTCTCCCTAAACTTGTCTTAATTTAAAAAGTAAATGTGTACTATATGGTATGAAAAGGACACATGACGCTCACACGTTGTTACTTGTGACATGTGACTTGTGGGTACTACTACCAGTCACTTCAGTTGCGTATGTGCGTTAGTGGAAGTGGATGGCCAATCATTTTCTTTACTTAATTTTTCTTCATTGTTTTATGAGACCCCTTTCGCACGTCTATATATGGTTATAAATCAATCATCCACGCTACTTTCCTATGCTTTTTATTAGCTCTGAGACTCTTAAAATTTTGAACAACAAAAGAGATTCTTGCAAGTTTGGTTTAGCAACATAATGAAGGTATTCGAAAGAGCCAATTTGTTGTTTTAATTCTCAAAAAGAGCCCAACTATCTAACATGTATATGGAATGGTGAGCGAAATATGCCAACGCATAATAAAGGGACAAGAATTTTATACGACCTCATCTAAGGGCTATATGTAAAGCCCTCAATGTAGAATGACTCAATAAATGGAAGACCAAAGCCCATGAAGAGTTATCCAAAAAAATACTGTAAAGATAATCAAAGAAGAGTAGCATTTGGTTCATCGTGAACAAAGCCATAACTCTTTCACCCGATGAAATTGTTCCTTCGATTACGAATGGACCACCGATTCCTCCAATTGTTAAGAATTATAAAATATGAAGAAGAAAAAAATATGTAACTTAAGAAAATTTGATGAGCCAAGAAGGAAAAGATGAGGAGATCCCGAAAAAGGAATGCATACTCGTAATTTTTTTGTTATAAAAAACTTCTGATATGATAGTGTGTATATATTATATAGCAATAGCAAGTAGCATCCATGCGAAATAAACACAACATTTATACAAAAACTGGAAAATATTACACAAAATCTAACCCCTCCCTCCCTCTCAGATGGTTATCAGGCGTTTTGTTCAGACAGTATTGCAAGCCTCAACACTCTAATTATGTCTGTGAGGGAAATGAGCCCCTTGAGCAAACCTTGTTGATCCACAACCCAAAGTCGGTGCACATGTTTGGAGACCACCTTGCCAATCACTTCACCTAAGGATGAATCAGCTCGGCATGCCACCAGCTCCCTTGTTGTTGGACTTCCTGCTGCATTATTGAATGCTGCCAATAGAGGGTTTGCCAAAACCGTCTCGGTGTAATCCAGAGCACTCATCGGCAACCATGTTTGCAGCGTCGCGAAGTGGCAGCCTCTCAAATCTGTTGCCGAAAATGTCCCTATAGCTTGCCTTCCTCTGCCCTGCAGTCAAAGGACATACATTTATGATAGTTCATATCCCAATTCCATACCGGAAGAAGGTGTTTTTAAGGCTCAAAGAGACATACATTTACAAGCTGCTTGTGATCTTCTTCATTGTCCGTATCCGAGGACCTTACAATCGGAACCGCGTTTAGCAAAGCTATCCGCATGCACTTGATGGCATCAATGACCTTTGTGCGGTCAGTAATGGCAAAAACTCTCTCCGTGACAGCTCCCAAATCCGATACCGTGCTCGACATGATGTTGTCGAGTTCTGATCCGGAGCTGCCATGTTCCTTCACAAACCTCAACACATCCATCTGGGTGAGCATTCGGTAGCTGGAAGCAGACTCTACAAGTTCAACTCCAGAGACGTTGTCCATGTGGCTGTCTACGGGTACCAAAGCACGGTGTATTCCTTTGCTAAACACTTCCATACAGTCTAGGATGCTGAAGTTGGGACTTAAAACAAGTAAACATTAAAATAAGTCCATTTAATTAATACAATATAATTATTTTATTAATCTAATGACCTCCTCCCTATATCGATCATATGTCATACTAATTACATTATTAGAGCTTAGAAAGAAATTAGTCCACCTTGTGTTGGGGTTTAGAGTCCACAAGCTTAAACCCTCAAGGCAGTGCCCTATGATCGAAGACACCGGCACCGACATCTTCTGATCAAGATCAAACCCATTATGAACTGCTTCATCCATCAACTGATCTTCATTCCCAGCAATATGAGCCAATAGATCAAGCATGGTGGCCAACCCTATGTAGTGCTTCCGCACAGTCCCCGTGTGTTTGTCAGCTTCCATGATCATGGAGCCCCCGGCTCCAATCCACTGGCCTGGCGGTGCCGCCACGGGCACCGCCAGCACCTTGTTCGCCACCAAGGTGTTCATGGTGTGGGCCAGGGACGCCGTGTACGGCACCTCCACAAGCCTGCGCTTGTTCACCATCAAGTCCCCTAGTTTCTTGTCTCTTAGCCGTTGAGTACACTGATCAGCCTTAGAGTAGTGCTTGGCGGTGCTTGTTTGCTGCATATTTAATCTTTCTTTTTAGTGTTGAATTTGGAGAGGAAACTGAGGAAAGTGGAAGAGAGGGAGGTGGTTTTATTGGTATTTATATACGAAAGAGGGTGCTTTGGAGTTGATGCTACGTGTCAAAAGCAGGAGCTGCCGCTGTTGCATGACTGTGCTCGTGTAGCCACGTTATGAGAATGGACAGGGCTTGTTGGCATAACGTGTGATGATCAGGAACACCAAGTGAAAGTGAAAGACAACAATTCAAATAGAGGGCCTCTTTGTCAGCAATTCCTTGGAAACTAGCTACTGCTGCTCAAGGAGTGTACTTAGCCTCCCTAAACATCTCCTCCAATTGAAGATCCAATAAATTTTTAAGCAAAGCTAGTTTACATTGTTAACCATAAAAATTTGTTTGGTCATTTGGAAATTCGAACATACATATGTAATCAATAATGCTATTTGTCATATATTTATTGACCACACATTGTTATTTTGTACCATATTTACCGACCACCTCTCTAATAGAGGTGAGTTTCATTAATGTATGTGAGACTCACCTGTATTAGAAAAGTTATTAGTAAATATGGTACAATCGTACAAATAGCAGCACTCCATATGTAAATTGTAAGTCAGAGAGAATCATCATATCTTGATCAATGGTTTAAATTCATAATGTCACACAACATAAAATGCTATGTGAAGAAAGAAAAAGAAATTTTTGGTTACATTCAGGAGCCACATATTTAGCATATGACTTCAGAGTAGTCATACAAATTCCATTCATGGATGAAAGCCACTTAGTACGTAGTTAGATATTATTTTTCTCAAATTAGTATTTTCTTGAAGAAAACTTTTTTCTTTAGGACCCGTTTGATAATCATTTCAATTTTAATTTTTAGTTTTCATTTTTTGTACTACAATATAGAGGAAAAGGAGAGAGAAGGGAAGTGGGAATGAGAGTGGAAATGGGATTGAGATGGAAGATGAGAGGGGAGGATGGGAGGGAAGTAGGGGTGCACATTATTACCGAAAACCCGACCAAACCGGCCGAACCGGACCGGTTTTGGCGGGTTGGTCCGGTTTTTTTATTCAAATTATTGAAATCGGTAGGAAAACCTGCCGACCCAAGTGTGACCGGTTTTGAACCGGTTTGAATTTTTTTAAACCGGCGAAACCCGAACCGGACCGATTTCATTAAATTGCCTAAAAATTTAGACAAATGCCATGATGGGGAATCGATCTCTGCTCACAGTTAATATATAAAGCCCAAATACCACTGGACTGATGTGCCTTCTTGTGTAATGTGTGTATAATTGTATTATTTATTACAATCTAAACATTTTTTTTTAAAGTTAGGGTTTTCCCTGCCCCACACACTCTCCTTTTTTTTTCTTTTCTCCCACCCCAGCCGACATCCCTTCTTTCTTCTGTTTCTCTCCATCTTTTTTTCTTTCCTCTTCCTCCCGCCGCTGCATCTTCTTCTGTTTTTTTTTGGATAAATAGCTGCATTTTCTTCTTCTTCTTTCCCTCTTCTCTCCATCTTCTTCTTCTTTTCTTCTTCTTCCTCCCCATACCCTCAACCAGGAAGTGGTCCTTAATCTCAGTTCAATCCTCTGCCATCGATGCTCGCCGAACCAAACCAAACCGCACCGACTTCTCGGCGTGCCGATTGTAGTCGGTCTTGCATCTCCTCGGCGCGGCGGCGGTCTCCAAAATAGGTGCGCCGATGACCTCCGGTTCGGTGGTCGGCAACTCCTCCAAGACACGGTTATCGAACCTTGAACAGCCCTAGAGGGAAGAGTAACAAAAATAAAAACAAAAACTTGAAAGTGAAAACAATTTCAAATAGATTTCAGTTTTTGTTTTCACTTTTGTTACTCCTCCCTCCTATCTTCCATCTCAATCTCATTTTCACTCTCATTCCCACATCCATTCTCCGTTTCTTCCTCTATACTCTAGCACAATAAAATAAAATAAAAATTGAAATGGTTATGCCCTTAGCTAATCAGTTAAATGTGAAGACAAACAAGCATTGAAATGCAAAAACTGAAAAGAAAGAGAAACAAAAGGCCAGAACTTTTTCACCGTACAATTGGTAACAAAGCCCTATAATAGCCAAATTCATTAGTGTGTAGTAACAACAGCTGCTCTTCTCCTGATGCCTCTTGTATGATGATATGAACATCTATCTACCTTCTCTTTTTTGTTATGTATATGAAGGGAATTCCCCAAAATATGATCAGCGGCCATGTAACCCTAGCTAAGACCTATTCACCAAAAGCCTAAACCCTACACTCTGTGCGACCTAAAAACTTGTAGATCCACTTGAATTAAATTGTGGATCAAAATCAGTCATTAGTTGAATGCCTCAAGATCACTATCACCTTAGCTGTTGATCCAAACCAGCTGCAGCGCCAGCACTAGGCCCTGCATTCTCAACTGGAGGCATAGTACCCCACGTCTCCTCTGATTCTGGCGGCTCCATAACAACAACTCCCCCATCAGTGAGTCCAACTGCAAACTGATTAGGCTCAGATGGATGAGCCGCGACTACAGCAGGGTACACCCTTGCGCTGTCAAATAATAGAATAATTAGTAATAAGACGGTGAAGAAAATAGTGTTTGTGTGTGTGCGTGCTCTTGTTTAAAAGCATCGGTAACCATAAGGCATACCTGGGATTGGACGGTATATATGCGGCAGAGCTTATCCGACATCTGATTCGTAGCGTGGAGGCAGTTAGAACAAATACACTTGCATCCTCCAAGCTCGCATAGATTGACTCGCTATCACAAGAATATGTAGCATCTGTGATAGGAGCAAGAGATTGTCGTGGCACCCACTGTCACAGCCAACAACAAAAAAAAACAAAAAATTAATCACCTCATAAACTACTAGAAATCAAGCTCTAGCTATTCTTCAAACATTAGAATACAAAACCTGAAAAACTCATGAAATGGTTCAACAGGTTTACAAGACAGTTACATTAACTATAAAATATGAAGTTTCACAAGTACCTGAACATTGGAAATATTTAATAACTGAAATTAAAGACTATCAACTAAGAATTAAAAAAGAAAAGAAGGCCCCAGAGACCTTCTTAAGGCACTCCAACTTTGATGCTTCATATATGGCTATTTGAGTTTCATGTACTACCAGCAGATGTATCAGATCTTGGTGAAATTGAACTCGGGTCTGAGCAAGAGGTGTAAGCACGCGACCAGTGGGAATCTGCAAGAACGTACCAGCCTGCTTTGCCCATCCGTCCAGACTCCACACACACAGCTGAAGTAAAGAAAAATTTATCAGCAATTCATACATCATGTGACTCCACCTATAGGTGAAATTATGTACAACAGAAAAGAGGAATATAGCCCCCTTTCAAGTAGAACTTGCAGCACAGCTTACCAACAACAATATTGAACATAAAGATGAAAAAAGAAAAATTACATATTTCATTGCCTATTGTGAGGTCGTATAATCTAAAGCCACACGGCATAATTTAATAACATTGATATATTAAAGTTGCTTCATGAGCGATTATAGTTTTTCTGCGCCCTATTTACAACGTCATGTAGTGTCATCTTTTAACAATAAAAGCAATCTTGGCTCAATCTACTACTAAATCTAGACAAACAGGAAATCTGGTATGGTGATCATAATATCTTCTATAGTTCTATAGAAAACAATAGATTGCATATTGAAAACATATTTAGTTTATAGCGCTTGCTCATTTCATGTGGTCAAGATACTACCAGCAGTCCTATCCATTACATATTTGTCTTACATACACAAAAGGCAGGTATGCAAAGTCTAAAGAGCTCTACACTGAAACTTATGCATAAATCTCTATTAAAAAAAATGAGCACTTGGTATCTATAACTTTCAAAATTCCAGTGCATCACTACCCACACACACACACACAGCAGCATGGCACATAGATTATATCCTACTTTTATGAAGCATACCTGAGAATCAGCCCCTGATGATACAAGAACATTCAGAACAGTGGAGAAGGCCAGGCCAGTTACTCTCGTCTGATGACCTTTGATCTTGTACTTGACCTGAGTAAAAAAGAGAAACAAAATTACTATCTATAATTTGAAAAATCTACTAACTAAAAAAAGTCTCAGTTTGTGCTATCTACAGTGTCAATTGGGACATGGAACAAGTGAATTGTAGAATCCTCCATGCCCACGGCAATAATGTTATTGTCCACAGGATGGAAAGCAACAAATGTTGCTGCAGGTGGTGGAGGCATAAAGGTTGCCAATGTCTGCAATTTTGGTAGAAGGAAAAAATGATGAAAAATCATCAGCCAAAGGATTATGTATCCAACCAATTGCGCCCAAGGTACAATCCTAATACAACATTACCTTGAATGTCACCGTATTAAAAAGAGAAATTTTCCCTCCTGATGCTGACACAGCATAAGAATCATTATTGGAAAGAGCAAGGCAAGAAGGAACCGAATCTTCAAGATTTCTATCGATTATATCATTGGTCATCATCAATATACCACTGCGAGGTTGCCATAACAGAGGCGGCACAGTGGTAGTTGCCTACAGTACCAAAAGCATTTATACAGGAAAAGATTGAGAAAATTTAAAAGGACAAAATAACTTAAGGAAGATTTGCCTTAAGAACAAACCATACTTTTCCCAAAACATTCTGCTCATTCTTCTGCCATTTCCAAAGTCGGTGTACCCCAGTATGTGTCAATGCCAATATAGACCCTCCTGAGTTTGCATATATCAACCTAACAATCTGAATTGGAGAACAAAAAGATTTAAAGATGGATTCAAAAATAATAAAAATAATAAAACAAGTACTACGTCAGTGTACAAAATAATCCAAGAAACATGTATTGCAAAACTCTATCCCCTTAAATATTTCTAAGCTTGAACTTAGCCTGAAAAATTACATGTATTACATTCCCTACATCATTCTCTCAAAACTCAAAGAACCCTCAGTGCCTAGGCTGAGGTTAAAACCTGCTAAGGGACTGAAGCATTTCTTATGACAAAAACTTATCAACCCACTTCATATACAGCGATGATTTATATGTATTACAACCTAAATAGAATTTACAGGGATATAAATGTATATATATGGGTCCAAAATTCACCAGGTTCAAAGCATCGGGAAGCCGTATGGAACGAAGAAGAGATGGTTCATTAACTTCAGTTAGCTTCCAAGTTTTAGGTTTCTCTAACTCCTCAGCAACCCTTGAATTCTTGTCCAAACTTCGAGCATCTCCATTCTAAAAATTTTAAGTCACCATTTGTGAACCTCCCAAAAGGAAGCGTAGCTCAAATAAGAATTTAAAGCATGCACACAACATCAAAGTTAATAAAGAATGTCCAGTAGTGCGTGAACAACTTAGAAAATAGGTTATGCAGGTTTTCCTAAAGGATACACAAAGTGTTTTCTTCCATCTTGACAAATTATATTCTAGTAACACTTATGAAAGAACAATCAAAACTTACCAGACCAACTACTGTAGACATTTGACTTCCATTTGCAACCCCATTGTTTGTTCCATGAACAGAACTGGAAGCACCAAATGTGCCAATTATGGGTCCCTGCAGCATAAGTAATTCATTTAACAAGAGTTTCAACATTTTGGGTCACTTTATAAATCTACATTTTTGGTCATTTCATATATCTGATAGAGCAAAATACCTTCACAGCATTTTCAGAAGCCATCCCAGAGGCATCAACTGCACGATTCTCAATTGACCGCAAAAGTCGAACACCATCGGCATTTGCAAGTACTTTAATACCATTCTCATTTGTTGAAACAGCCAACATAATTCCTTCCTTGTTAAATCGCAAACAAGGAGAAGCCTAACAGATGTCAAAGGTAAATGTAGTTTTAAAGTTAACAATAACCTTGAAATATGACAGTGAACATCATGAAGATAGCCCTCTGTGGCCATTACCGGTAATCCACCATCCGCATTAGTAGCGTTCAACAGGTTCACATTGTCCATGTCCCAAAATTTAATTTGGAACTCATCACCAGCAGCCAAGAATCGGTTCTTGGTCGTATCAAACTGCACGACCCCCAGAGTTCGCTTCCCAAGCCCATTATATGTTCGCTTTACAGCCCCCTGGGTTTCATCCCATTCCACAATGTATGATTCTCCTTCTTTATTAGTCCCACATGAGAATAACCTATGATTTTCACAATAATAGGAATACTTGAGCAATCAAAAACTCACATTGAAGAAGTTATATGATACGAAAATTAGAACACTTGATGGAATAACAAAACAATACAGTACCTCGTTCCATCAGTACTATTGACAATTCTTGTGAACGAATGGCCGGGAGCATGATAATCAACTCTTGAACCTAAGTTATCATAGAGCCATGCCTTGATTTTCCCATCAATGGCTGTAGAGAAGATGAACTGATGCAGAAAGAAAACATCCACTGAGTATTACAACAAAAAACAAAAACAAGAACCAAATGAGAGAAAGATGTCTAAGGATCAAAAACAACAGTTAGGTTTAAAGAACTGTTTCCAAACAGTTCAAAACAGCATGGAAGAAACGCTAAATTGGTACAATAATGAATGTACAATTTTCCAGCTGGTGAAATGGACTGAGATTCCATGGTAGCCAAAGGAACAAAGAAAACTGATTACTTAGATGATTTGCTATACTTGCAAGGATCATAGAGACTTTATAAAAAGCTTTTCTACAAGCACATCTTAGGGGTAAATTAGGTAAGGACTGTAAATAAACATCAGGGAGCTGTATGTATCTCTTTCTTGATATGCCAATGTGCATTAAAAGACATTTTATACAAGGAAAAAAAAAGAGACGGGGTTTGTGGAAACCACAAAAATGATTTCCTTTCCTTTACAAATTTCACTATACATACAAGTTCACCTCAGCAATAACTGGGTTAACAGGAATACCCTTGACCAAAACAAGACTTGCCATTAGAACTTAGAAGTAAGCTTTTGATGCCTCTAACCATAAAACAAATCTCAAATCAAATACTTCAAGGAAAGCAATAACCATCAAGAGTAAAACCAATGGTAATAACCAAACTAAGCACCTGAGTGTTTTCCTTCATCTGTGCGCACACAGAATAAACTGGTGCTTCATGACCTTCAAAACTATACAGCTTATTGCCAGTGACAGCATCCCAGACCTGTATAGAGATGAACCTTGATGATTGCAGGCCATAGCCTTGCCAATAGCATTGAAGGAAAATGCCATACAAGCCAAACCTTGATGGTCTTGTCCTCTCCACAAGTTATGATGCATAATTGTTTGTTTAGGTGAGTAAAGGCAAGATCATTAACTTCACCAACATGAGCATCAATCTGGAAGAATTTCATTTGAAAGTATAATATATATAAAAAAATCCAATCAGCGCATAAGTAATTACAGTCTTAAAAACAAAATTTAATTAATTAACTGATAGCTGCAGAAGGCCAAGAAACCTACTAGCGATCACAATTTTAAAATTCATAAGCCACTTAAATGAAATCAAAAAAATAAAAAGAGAAAAACAACCTCTAGTTGGTTCCGTAAATCATCAGCACCATGATAGGAATATATGTGCACTACACTCTTGGAATATCCAATACCTGAAACAGAAGTTGGCTTAATAACAAAAACTAATCATAAAAACATGATCTGTGAACTTCAACCATTTTCCCCCACTTCATTAAGAAAATTTTACCCATGACCAGAAATTGTAATGTATTTTTTCTCGTGTCTAGAAAATATATACAAGTATTCTATCAGTTTGGAAAATAAAATGAATAATAGGAAGTAAATCCCCTTATATACCAATATGGGAACCATCAGGACTCCAGATAACACGATTGACTGATGCAGTGTATTCAAAAGCCACAGATGCCTATCAGAAGACATGAAAACTATTAGTCTTATTGGTGGGAAAAGATAGAGGGTGGGAAAAGAACAAAACCAAGGGAATTAAACCTGCAGAGCCATTGAACATGCATCAAGGTCCCAAATCTCGAAATTCCGAGAAACAAGCCTCTCTCTGCTGCCTACCTCCCAAATTGTTATATTGCCAATATTTGTTCCAACTGAATTTGGAAGAAAAACAAATGAATAAAACTTCAATCCAGAAACCATACAATTAGACATTGACTGAAAACATAAGACTAAAGACAAAAGATTCATTAAGCAGCATGAGCAAACCGAGAAGCAGAGTCTGTTGCACTGGATGAAAGTCCATGCTCTTGACAGCTGAACCTTGACTCAAACTGAAAATAACAGTCTTCGGCAAGTCCTCAGAAGAGTGAAGGGTATCGGCATGGATCTGGCCAGGATATGTGTGTGGAAAGACATTAACAGACATATTATTGGCCCGAAAATGCAAAAGGGAAGTCACGGTGCGAGAAAGATAAATTCAAACAGTTAAGGCACCAAGGACATAGCAACAATTTCACCCACCATATTGCACATTGAAAAGGCACACTTACAACTAAGCTAGTTTCAAAATCTTATTTCAACAAGAAATAGTGAGAAAAGTAAAAAACAAAAAACAAAAGTGAAATATTGATATTCTCACTAAAAAAAAAGTAAACTACAAAAGGTATTGCCGAAAGGAAACATAATCAGTTAAATACTGATTGAAAAAGAGTGAGTTATAAATTTAGAAAACAGCAGTACATAAACATTTTGATAAAGATACCTTATCTGGCGTCCCCAAAGGTCTTGATCTCTTCTTGGACACGTGTTTAGAATCTGCAATTTGATAGTCCATTCTTGGGTTATTAGTGGGAGGAGTCCTAGGGTGCTTTAGCAAAGATGCTATCACACCAAATAAATGCAAAAAGGAAAATATAACTTAGTTGGAAAAGTGAAATCTGAATGAAAATAATTTTAAAAAAATCATTCCAGGGGAACCATATAATGCGATTGTGGGAACAAAATCGTTCAAGCAAAATAAGAGTGATTGGCAAGTATCTGATGATTGTGATCAGGGAAGACACTATTCACTAACAAGTCTAACATATAAATGAAACACAGGCAAAGGCACATCACGAAGTGTCATACAATCCCCTTAAATAATTCAACAACCAAGAAGAAATTCAACTGACGGAAAAAAAACAATACAAGGGGCAATTGTAGACTCTACAAACTATTTCAATACCAAAATTCTCAACTAATCCTAAGTACAATTCAAGGTCACCGAATGTAACAAACCTAAGCCAGACATGGGCCACCGATCAGTTTCACTCTTAACCCTGTCAATATCAGAACACCCATGAATCACATGTAAAAGATTGCTTGTTGGTAAAACCCCTCCACATCAACCTCTTACTTCATAACATATTCAGCCATCCTCGTGATCTGGTTGGGGCCTCGAAACACCACAACCAATTTCAATTCCATAAAGGGTTTTGAGTTTTTCCTGTTTTTCCCTTGATTTTTATGGATTTTACAAACTGGCATGTTAAGCATTTAACAGACATCATCGCAACATTAAATTCAAAAGCCCATAGAGTCAACAATAATGGGTTCATATTTCTATCATTAAGCAAAGCTTGAATTTATAGGGATCATGATATTAAGGCAACTCCATCTTGTATTGCCAAATCATTATTGGTTTCAATTTACTAATTTAAGACAACATTGTGTATGTTTGACATTTGCAAAGTCGTGCCTTATTGCATTATGACTTATTCTAACAGAAATACAATGTAAATATCAAAAGAACTGCAACTTATACCAATTATTCCTTCACAACGTCTGCAACAAAATATTTAATCACGTTCAAAGTCAAAACTAATATTGCTTATCTAGAGGTATACTGTACTTTATATACATTTTATTCATTTAAAATTGCACCCCGTAATGACCCGAAAAAACAAAAAATTTCATCTTATTTACGACTAGCAAAACTGGTTATTTACCCTATAAGTTATATCCATAAATTTGTAAGATTTCCTAGTAATATAGCACAATCAGCAATAAAGCCACAAACATAGAGAAAATGTTATAAAAAAATTGACTAAACAAAATCAAAAGCAATCATACATGCATTATTGGGAACTGTTAGACCTCTTGGTCTGGCAGAAACTGTTTGGTGCGGAACAGAGGACGGGTTAGCTGTCCATCCAGAGAGAGATGTTGTAAGAGGTGCTGATGCAGGCTGGCATGGCTGAAAATCACATATATTAAATAAACATACAAATAGGAGTTCCTCAGAAAACTACTTCCTTATACACCAAATGTAAATTTTGTATACAGAATTACACCACGAGCATGTATTGGTGGGAAGCCACCTACTTTTTTTTTTCTTGAACCACGTACTTTAGCAATGGATCCCATTATAGGGTTAATTGCAGGGGAAGGAGCACAAGCAATATGTCCACAACTGTGGTCCGAAAATAGAGTTTTAAAGTCAGCGTTTGGCCTAGGATTATTGCAAAGGTGATGCTGCCAATTTAAACTGCAACAAACATTACAGACAATGACTTCAGATGACAAAAAATTTTCACATACCCATAATTTTTAATTGAAAAAAGAAAGAGCAAAGATTATGTAGATAACTTGTGTTCGAATTACCCCTGATTGATAAGTGTACTCAGCCTTGAGTTCTTTAACTTGGGGAATTGCAGCTTATCACAGAAAAGTGGACTTGCCTCAATTATCTTTTTTACTTCAGTAAGTATAACAGCCCTGGCAGACTTAATATCACCATAATCTGATAGTTCCTCATTCTCCCTGATTTTTTTTAAATGAAAAGAAAAGAAATTGCAGGTTACTGAGAAACTTCAACAACAAAAAAATATATAAAATAAATATAGTGGACAAAGAACTAAGCAAACAAGCACAAAACAGAACTTTTGGAGCAAGCACACTTCAAAGTACACACTGGTTGCCTTCAACATCCAAGCAAGATAAAGGCAGTGTTATATAACAATGAAGGAAGAAAAAATGACTTACACTCTCATAAATTCATCATTTTAGGTCAACAACTCTTTGTCTATTGGAAGAATTGTTTTCACTTTCAAAGATTTTAACATATAAACCATTATGTCTCAGTTCAATCATTATCTATCTTTAGGTAACAAGCTACAATAGAAATGTAGAATTGGTCATTTCGGTTTTGAATCCAAAGGAAATGCACAAATATAAGCAGTCACAACATGCAACAAATGGACACCAAGACAACTGAGTTGGGTGTCTGACATCCGGATCTAAAGAAGTGTATTAAAGGAAGAGCATTACTTCATGCTAAATATTTATGATGTCCTCAATTCATTTTATTTTCTTCTCTTCCTAGAGCTCAGGTGGTATTTCTATAATTCTGCTCTATGGAGTCTAGCACTTGAGAATTAGCCACTTATAGCGTATTTAGATAAAACAGACAATTTAAGATTTGAGTTACTTGCATTCACAACTAAAGTCATGAAACCCCTACTGCCAACTATTTCATTTCGGTAACCCAAATTTGGCATAATTATTTCACAGAAACTGGAACTAACAGCCTGAAATTGTATCACATGATTTGGTACATGATTCTCAATTGTCTGTAACTATCAGTTTCAATGACCCAATAATTCCATTCTTTCTGCCTTCAACATATCTAACTCTTAAGAATTTTCCATATTTTCTACTGATCAAAAAAAAAAAAAAAAAAAAAAAAAAAAAAAAAAACAGGGTTTCACAAACATGGGCAGATGTTATGAATGACACAATCAAGGCACAAATAGGACATACTCAAAGCTTTATCTATAACAGCATAAATAAAGACTTTGATGCCACAAACCAAATCAATCATATAAGAGCATAAATTTGACGCCACAACACTTGCATGGTCATGATTTTTTTACAATAGCATGTCTTATGCATGGTCATGAGTCATGACTTGTTTAACAGGAGCATAACTTTGACTCCACACCAAATTAATCACAAAAGAAATACCCAACACACCTAAAATTCCCCAACGACAGAAGCAGGGTCATTTCCTTAAACCTCTCTTCGTTGATTGTCGAGAAAACTTTCAAATCCTTCTGAAGAATCTCGACAGCTCTAGCATAGTCATGCCTGCATTAAAGACAAAGTTATAACAAAGCCACGACAAAGTATTTTTGTTTCCGAATCAAACAAAGAGCTTACCTGTCAAGGGCCTCAAGGTACTTTTGTTTCCGAATCTCAAAGAAAATTTTCGTTGAGTATCTACTTTCATCAACCTTACAAAATCCACTCAGGTAACTGTCCGCCTCATCCCATTCACCATTGTTCACGCAATCCTCAAAATACCTCATATTGAAGAAATACCCTGAATCTTTTTCCAACCTTCATTCAGACACAGACACGAGAACCTCACTCAGTATAAACCAAACAATATAAGTTCCATTTGCACTATGTTTCCATAACTGAAGGAAAAAAAAGGTGCAAAAACGATCTTCCTGACCTCCCTTCCATTTTCTCAATTTCTTGGCAACCAAGCAAACCCAAAGACGAGGGCCAATTAACAAAATAAACAAGATTACGTACGAACCAACGAATATAAAGAAGCAAAAGAACAAACTCACTCACCTGTGAACAGTGTCCTTGTATTTCCCTTCATTCGCTTCATTTAAGTACTGGAGTATGAGAAAAACGAGCTCTCTGTCCAACAACGTCATGGTTCGCGTTCTTCCGATAAAATAATAACCACCAACACAATCAAAATTAGGGTTCTAAATTCAAATTCTCCCCCAAATTTCACTCACCCAATTCAATTCCTCAAATTCTCAGTTCCATACACGCCAAACGAATCTCACACAGAAGAGACACACAAACGGAGACATGCATACACAGAACCACCAAACCTATACAACCAGGCACTCCAATACCTCACGCGCATGCATATATCACATAGAAATACAATACGTGAGTGTTCGTTCGTATAGACGCACCTTCTTCAGTGAGAGTTGCAGATCAAAACGAAGAGAGAGAAAATGAGAAGGAGAGAGAGAGTGTGTGTTGAAGAACAGAGACCAAGAATGGAAAGGTTTTGAGGGGTTGGGGTTTGGGTTTGGGTTTTGGATGGTTTTATAGGTGCTCCCTGTGTGGGGTTTCCTTTTGCCTTTTTGCGTTTTTTATTTTATTTTTGTGTCTTTCTTGCTCTTTTCGTACGGAAAATATGTTGTCAGCAGAAGAAGCGGGTCCGGGCACATTTGCAAATTTTCTACAATAGTTGTGGGGTTGTGTGTAAATTGCGTATGTGGCATTTTGGACAAAGCTATACTCTAAATCGAACTTAGGTGCAAACTGGTGAGTACACTATTTTGGTTAATTGACACCTTATATATGTACGTGCATGTGTAGAAATTTAAACGCCAATAAAAAAACAGCAACCACAAAATAACCACCAAATCTTTTTGAAACATTTATTTATTTTTTTACGAGTCAAAATTTAATGTTAAGTAGTATTCCACAAGAAATAATAACAATTCTTCTCTTATAATAAAAGGTCACTTTCCTATAATTTTATGTTGATAGTGATTCCCTTGTATAGTTGGCATATGCGCTCTTGTTATGTTTGTCAAAGTCACCTGGCCAAATCAGCATTTTGGCCAACTTTATTGACAGCCTTGGTATATGAAGGACTTGATTGCAAATGTTTGCTATCTCTGTGAGCTCTGTTGCAAAATCAAAACTATTCAAGAAAAACCAAGTACCAATAAAACCTCTTTTCTAGTCTGAAATTTTATTTTGGATGCGGAATTTTTATTTAACAAAACATATGGGAAATTTTAAAGCTTTGTTAAAAATAACAATAAATAAGCCTTTGAAATTAGCCCAAGTCGTGATTGAAAATGGGATAATGAGTTAAGATTAATAGATTCATCATGGATATGAAACAAGAACAAGAACTTGATACACACATGGGGTCAAGGCATATCCCTGTAAATTGAAGGTTGCAGCACAACTTCTCTCTTTGACATTTTTAAGTCAACCATTCTTTTGGTAGCTAACGAACCGAGTTCAAGCAGGTGTTCCAAGTCTACTTTTATTGTGTTTACTAATACATGCGTATTGAAATAATTCTAATTAATTCTTCACTTCTTATTTGATTACTAACATATAAATGAATAAAAAATTATGTGAAATTCATATTTAAAATTTGTAACTAAATACCCTCAAAATTAGGAATGGGATCAACTAGAGGGGAGTAGTTGATCTGATTCCAATTCACTACTCTATCTAAGTTACCCGATTTCATGACTTTTGTCATTCATGATAAGTAAACATATTCACGTTTGGTTCAATCTTATTGTTCCTCAAGGAACTTTCTTTAAGCTTCAATACTTGAAGCTCTCATGTCTTTATTTCAAGACCATCGACGCATTTTAACTGTATTAACTTTAGCTTCTCTATGACATAATGGGGCATATGTCCGCTAAGTAAATCCTTAGGTTGAATATGGCTCCAAGCTCAAAGAAGTTCTAAAGAAACAGAACTTCCATTATAAGACAAAAGCAGTGCCTGCAATGGCGTCCCTAGTCTTCAAGAAGCTCCACCCTCAGCTCTGGATCCACATATATTTCTCACAGGTAAGTCTTTCAGTCTTGCAAATGCATCTTTTGCAGCATTTTAAATCTTCCCAAATTTCTGAAAAGAAGAAAAAAGAAGAAAAAAGAGCTGGAAATCTTAGGAGGAGAAGAAATAGGAGCTGATTGGGATTAGTGAGTCAGTTTTTGATCGTGTAAAGAAGCCAATGCCTTGTATATTTCTTGGATATGAATTCTGAGCTACAAGAACATGTGGTTACGAAGTGATGCATGTCAACAACAATTTGATGAATTTAAGTTACCATGGTTGAGCCAGTGATTCGATGGCCCCAGCTCGAAAAACTTTGGTATAAACCCCGTGAAGTACATTAATGCTGAACGAAATTATTCCATGTATTTATTTCCGCTTGTCACACTTGCTCCTTTTCCCGTGAACCCATAAATATAATTTACTTCATTCACCAACCCAACCCGTATAACATTAACTCCAACTCAACCTTATATATACACCTCTCAATCAAATCCAATGCCTCTCACACTCATCCACTCCCGAAACTAGTCCTCAGTCTTTCTTTTCTCACAATGGCACTCATTTTCTCACCTCTACTCTTGTTTCTATCTTTCATGTGTTTTAGGCCACTAGGGGTCATGCCTTTCACGGTCATCATGTCGGATTCCGGCGTGCCATCTGCCCTCGTGGACGGGCCACAAACCGGGTTCTCCATGAACAAGGACGGGGCCCGAACTGACACCCGTGAGCAAGAAGCGGTCTATGACATCATGCGGGCTACGGGTAATGATTGGGCCACTGACATTCCCGATGTGTGTCGTGGCCGGTGGCATGGAATTGAGTGCATGCCGGACAGAGAAGATGTCTACCACGTCGTTTCGCTCTCCTTTGGGGCGCTATCCGATGACACTGCGTTCCCGACTTGTGACCCAACCCGGTCCCATATTTCACCATCCATCACTAAACTTCCCTACCTCCGGACCTTATTTTTCTACCGTTGTTTTAGTTACAATCCTCAGCCAATCCCATCACTTTTGGGGCAATTGGGCGCCACCCTACAAACTTTAGTGCTTAGGGAAAATGGGCATGTGGGTCCTATTCCTATTGAGCTGGGCAATCTCACCCGTTTAAAAGTTCTTGACCTCCACAAAAACAATCTCAACGGCTCAATTCCGGTGTCCCTGGGCCGGATGACCGGTCTAAGGTCGTTAGACCTGAGTGGAAACAAACTAACTTCAATACCCAATTTCAGCTTCCCAATTTTGAGCATTTTTGACCTGAGCCAAAACCTTCTAATGGGCTCAATCCCATCCAGCATTGGAGCCTGCCATGCTCTTATCAAAATGGATTTGGGCCACAACCAACTCACCGGCCCGTTACCTGACTCCATCGGTACCCTGAAAGACCTAATGCTCATGGATCTAAGCTACAATCGCCTCAAGGGTCCACTTCCAATGTGGATTAGGAGCTTAATCTCACTTCAAACTTTGATCCTCAAAGGAAATCCAATGGGGCCCACACCAATTCCAAGTGATGGTTTTGATGGCATGAAGGGGTTGATGACCCTAATTTTATCAAACATGAATTTGCATGGTCCTATACCTTCATCGCTAGGCAAATTGCCAGGCCTTCGTGTGCTTCATCTTGATGGGAACAATTTCAATGGCTCAATCCCAACAAGCTTTAGAGAGCTCAAAAGTGTGAATGAATTGAGATTGAATGATAATTGGCTCAGGGGCCCAATCCCATTTGGGAGAGAAATGGTTTGGAGGATGAGAAGGAAGCTTAGGGTTCATAACAATTCTGGGCTATGTTACAATGCCAATAGTGGGTTGGAAGATTCTGGCATTGGCCCATGTGACACACCGAGGCCATGAAGAATCAAATGTTTCAATTTTGAGTTTCTGTTGTGCTCTGATTTTGTTGTAGCAGAAAATAGGGCATATATTTGTACATTTGAAGTTTGTAACACTTATATTTGTCCCAAAAATAAGAAAGTAGCTACTTTATATTTCAGGTGAATGGAAAACCCTAGGCATGTCTCCTCCATTTGAGTCTTGAGCAAGGAAAAGGATTTGTGTGTTTTGTGTTCTAAGTTTGGCCTTTTGTATTAAGAATCCAGAGACAAATATGGTAGCCCACACCCACAACTTAGGGAGCGGGCTTTGCTTTGTCACTTTCAGGTATCAAGGAAGGACTTTGCTTCTTTTGTGGTGTGTAGCTGATGTTGGTCGGGAAAGGCTCATCTGACATGTTCTCTCCTCTCCTTTCTCCCCTTTTGTTTTGTGTCCATTATTGGGGAGATGATTTCATGGCTTTTTCTTTATTTTTAACAAAGAAAGCGCACATGAGAACGGAAGAGGAAAAAGAAGATTTCTTTTTGTTTAAGTTGGATTGAGTGAAAAATTCCATTATTAAAATATGCCATAATGATGTACTACATTATTTTTAGAATTAATGCCCAGTTTGGAATTGCTACCACTTTTATAAAAAAAATTGTGTTGTAAAGTAATTATTGAAAAACAAACTATATTTCATAATATCATATATAATTATTCATGTTCATAAGATTCTACTTCCAATGCTAGGAAATGATAAAACAATTTAGTCAATTTAATTAAATGGAAAATGCAATGTAGCGTTTGCAAAACTGCAACACCGTATATGCAAAACTGCAATGTAGCACCTGTCTGAAAATTCACTAAACTATCTCTAACATAAGCAATCATAAACTGAATTTACACACACAAGACCTCAGAATCAGTAATGTAGTTCATGCCGTAAACTTGAAATTAACAATTATATCTCCATTATAATTTGGTAGGCCAAAGAATATTATTAAAAATGATCAATCCCGAAACTCCTTCACCGGAAAACGAGCCTACCTCCGAAAGTGGTGGCAGTTTTTTGTCCACCTCTAATGGTTGGGGCAAGTGATATAACATGCATTAGGCATATTCTACGAAAATCCCCAACCAAACAGCACCTCAAACTCAAATCTGATAAATAAAAAACCAAAATAAAAACAAAAACTACAATACAAAATTCGCCACCCAGTACCCCAACCGCTTCTCTTCCACGAGGGTAAAAGGGTCTCTGCCTATCCGAGCTCTTGACACTCATAGAGGAGGAGGAGGAGAAAGAAGAAGAAAGTTGAGGCATCGCTAACAATACAAGCGCTTCAAACTCTCATTTATCCATTTACCTTTTTCTTGTTTTTATTTTAATGAAGCTTGGTTCTTGGCCCCTGTTTTATTTGGGTTTATGGGTTGTTTGCCTTTCTCTGTATCTCATCGCTATATGATTGTCTTTGATTGGTTTAGATGTCCATTGGGTATTTGAATTAAGCTTGTAAGGATTTTCTCGTCGCTGTACGATTGTCTTTGATTGGTTCAGATGTCTATTGGGAAATGTTTTCTCTGGTTTTATTAAGTGTTCATTTCTGAGATAGAAAGCAGCTCTGGTCAGACAGCAACTTTGTTCATTTTGTACGAGCACATCGAATATGAATTGTCTGTGTTCAATGCTACAATTATTTTTTTGGAAAAAAGGAGATGTAAGCTTCAATTTATGAATGAGAGATCTGTGTCTGGTAGAGAGATTCAAGCCCAGGTAAAGAGCATGATGGTTTTCTTAGCATAATAGCTAACAGTCTAGTTTTCAAATTTCATGTGAAGATTTATTCAAGAAAATAAATGATAAAACTTTGACCAGATGGAGCTGTTTATAAAAATAGTAAGTTTGTTTTCTTTTATCGGTGACTTCAAATTCGCTGATTTGTCATCTCTTGCGTAGCTAGTCTGAAAGAAACATGTTTCACAAACCAATCTAACATGCTTCAGTTGTCTAAGTACGTACTTGATTTGGCCAATCCTCTGTGAATGGACTTTACAAAACTAGTGGTTTTGAGTATCAAATATGTACTGTACATATTCAGTGCCACTTTTGTATTTCATTGAAATGGAAAGCAAAGAGATGTAAACTTCATTATAGGAGTGAGAAATCTGTGTCGTATAATCGGTAAAAGAGCATGATGAGGATGGTTTTATTAGCATATGAATTTTTGCTCCCCTTCTCAGAGTCCTGTTTTCTGTTGTCATCTGTGATTTCACTTAATTTTGTTTTGAGTTGGCCAAGTACATAGCTGGGAAAAGTACATACACAGAAAATGGACTAAAGAAAGTGGCTTCTTTTGTGGTTTTGTATATGTCATGGGAAAAAAAGAACATAAACAAAGGCAAAATGTATAGGAGGATTTATTACAATGTTCATTGTTGCACAGGGGCAAAGACATTCGAAAGGCGCAAGAATTCCAGTGATTTCTTCCGCATCCATTTGAAAGCACTTCCTGTAACATCCATTTGGTCTACTTGAAAGAAAATTCAACTGCGCAGCCGTGAAAATCTTCAGCTGCTGAGATAAGAAAATCTCATATGACATGAAAATCAGATATAAAAGCCAGTCGACCATGATCAATGTGTCAGCCCTTTGAGCCCAAGTTTGATTCCTCTCGTCATTGTTTAGAGTAGTTTAGACTATTAAGAGTTGATGATTGAATTATTGGCTATACTGTACATATTATCTGATATTTCATATCAGAGTGATATATAACAACATCTCAATAGAGATCATAATATAATATAACATCTCAACAAAGTTGATGATTGAATTATTGGCTATACATACATAACAGACATTATAATTATTTTCCCTACTGTACAACATACGCACATGACAAGATTATCTACAAAGTGTGAATTCCCTCTTTGCATCTTAGAAAATACCTTCAACTGCTGACATAAGAAAATCAAAACCTTCTTCAGCTTCAGTAAGTGTAGATAGAATAGATATATAATTTGTACACAACATTCATCGTATAAGCAGTGTAGTAAATACCTGGAATTTGAAAATGGGGGTCGTCGGCACATAGAGGATTTATAACCCGAGACAATTTTTAGACAAAGTGTTTTAATACCTACATAACCCAATGAATTTCAAACCATTAAGAATAAAATATATATATATATATTAAAAAAAAATATATATAAAAATATTTTTTTCTATAAATATAAAAAAAAAAAAAAAAAAAAAAAAAAAAAGTAAAAAAAAAATTCTCCAACTACTGTATATTCCCCACCATCATCAGTTTGGTATTGAATAAATAGACATGGAATTTTCCCAAAGAAAAAACAAACATAAAGAAAAGAAGAAAATTTGTGATGTTAAATGAATAATATAAATATTGGCAAAAAAAAAGAAGAAGAATAATATAAATAGACATTAACAAAAAGAAATCTTAATAATTACCAGAAGAGGTGGAAGCAGCATGGTCCTCCTCCATTAGGGATTCATCATTAGTTTGTTCTTCTTCTTTCCTATTCGAATAAATAGACATGGAATTTCCCAAAGAAAAAACAAACATAAAGAAAAGAAGAAAATTTGTGATGATAAATGAATAATATAGATAGACATTAACAAAATGAAATCTTAATAGACATTACCAGAAGAAGATGTGGAAGCAGCACTTGGCGTCTCATCATCATCAGCTTGGTAAACTCCGTCTTTTTGTACAAATTCGAAACCAACTTTGATGTTTGGGATGTGAGAAATCTTGGGCCACTCTCCTCTGCCTTTTCGGCAACCTTGTGCAACTGGTGATGTTGGAGACCAGTGCTCATCGATGGCCAACTCCTTCAGTGGTGTATTTCGTAAGAAGTTGGGCAGTGTTTTAAGCGAATAGCAAGAAATAATTCTCAAGGAAGAAAGGCAGGGCATTAGTGTAATTGTCTTATGAGAATCCTCTTCTTCACTCCACCCTGTCATTCCTTCCCACTCTTCCCACTTATACAAATGGCTGAATTGAAGTGTTTTCAAACTTGGGAATAAAATAAGTGGTGATGAGGATGTTTGCGTTTCTATTGTTCCATCTATTCCCAAAAACTCAACTCCTACCTTTTTCAAGCTATCCCAAGCATGTATCTTCAGTACTTCAAGGGACTCCAATCGCCCCAAAGGAGGCACAAACTCAACAAACTTGCAATATCGAAGGGTAAGGCTTCTCAATTTGTTTAACGACGTCATCCAATGGGGCCGGAGTGTGGTGCCACTGTAGTGATAGATAGAGAAGGATTCCAGATTTGGAGGTGGTTGTAAGGCATTCAGTGTTTCTTCCTGGCTTGCCACAAGAGGAATCTCATCTGTTCCACCAAAGAAGAAGCGCAATTCCAGACTGACAAGGCAATTTTTGTTCACCAAATGCGCTTGCTCGGCCTGCCTCGCGTCCTTGAGATCCTCCAGAAATTCTATTTGGAAACTCCCACGAAGCTGTTCCATGTTTCTCAAATCACTTAACTCGAATAATGCTTCTTTGTTGTTATCAACGTCATCATTGCCACGGATGTAAACTTCATCTAGCGTTTGTAGACTTGTTAACCTTGCAATCCCCTTGGGCAACTTTAGACTAGGACAATACTTGACATGAAGATGCTGCAAGTTAATCAGCTTTCCTATGCCTTCAGGTAATCTTTCAAGATTAGTGCACCCAACGAGTCTCAGGGTTTGCAAATTGATTAAATTACACACGATGTCTGGCAATTTCATCAAATCATCATTATTAGACAAATCAAGATACCTCAAATGTATCAATTCTCCAATCTCATTTGGAACTTCTTTCAAGGAGTTACGCCTCAGATTCAATGTTCTAAGGCATTTTACTTGTGAAATTAACTCTCGACCAAAACTAGCAATTTTTGAATCAAAAGTTGCAAGAGTCCGTAAATTCTTGCAGTTGCACAAGGAACTTGGAATTAGTGGACCATAGGGTGCAAGCATTAATGTCAAATGACGAACCTTCTTATATCCATCAAACTCCATTATTCTCTTATTGTTACCACCCTCAGCCTCCAAAACTAAGCATTCATTCTTAGTTAGAAATTGTAGAAAGTCATGCACAACATCATGCATCTTGCACCCCGTTATATTTCCAAGTTCATCTTCCTCAAATTCTTGAAAGAAAGATCTCATTACTAAGTTATCAAAGTACATTTCGCCTACCGCTTCTTTTTCTTTGTTTCCAATTGAATTAAGATAATTTTGTGACATCCACAACTCAATCAACTCATCTTTGACAATGTTATAATCTTTTGGGAAAATAACACAATACAAAAGACAACGTTTGATTGTCGGGGCCAAATCATAATAACTTAGTAACAGTGGTTGGAAAACTTGTTCCTCAACCCCATCTACCTCCCATATCTTACTATTCAAAACATCTTCCCATTGTTTCCTCATTTCCTTGTAGCGCATGAGACCACCCAATGCCTTTGCAGCAAGGGGCAGACCCTTACACTTTTTTACAATCTCTTTGCCAATAAATTCTAACCCCTTAGACTCATTTCTTTCTCTATCAGCCAGTGCAATGTGATAGAACAATGCCCAACAGTTTTCTTCACTCAACACCTTCAAATTGACAATATCAGTGGATGCTCCCATCATCCTCGCAACTTCTTCTTTTCTTGTGGTCACTAATATTCTACTACCCAGAGCCCCATTTTGTAAAGGTAACTTTAATTGTTCCCACTTTCTATAGTCTTGGTTCCACACATCATCTAGGACAAGAAGGAACTTCATGCCCTTAACAGACTCATGTATAAATTGCAAGAGAATTTGCAACTCATTTGAAGCTGGGGAATTCTCTTTTTTCAGACCATCAATGATGGCTTTGGCAATTTTGATCTCATCAAAAGGATCTGACACACAAACCCATATTCTATTGTCGAAATGGGCTTGAACCTTTTCATCATTATAGGCAAGTTGGGCAAGAGTTGTCTTGCCAATTCCTCCCATCCCTATAATAGGGATGACAAGGCAGGTTGCCCCTCCTTGACCACTCTCACTCAGCAACTTTTTTACTAATATTTCCTTTTCGTCGACTCGACCAAATGTCTTATCAACGAAAGAAGAACTTTTTTGTCGTTCAGTTTGTTCACTTCCTCTTTTCATGTATTGAAAGTTATAGTTTTGCCTTTCATTAGCAATCAGAGCTAATCTTTCATTTAGTTCTTTTATCTTCACAGCAATGTCACGACGAAGAATTACTTGACTGACTTGGCCAACACAAAACCAAGGGGCAGGAATGCAGAAACATACCTTCTTGGTAGTACTAGTACTACCAGCATTACCAGCTTCTTTTTCTTGTTTCTGAATATGTTGTTTCAGAATTTCAGTACTCCACTCATCCAACACGTCGTCCATCTCGTAGGATACATCCTTCAAACTGTCCAGCCAGTATTTCACGTTCAGCTCCTTCACTTGCCTCTCCTCTGCATCCTCGAGCACAACTTGAATAGCTTTGAAATTGTGGGAGAGTTTTGCCACTTCTTTCTTAACACCCACAACGAGTGTGACCTCTTGTTCTACCTGTTTTTGGATGATCGAGGCCAACTGTTCTAGGAGCACGGAAATGAGTGCTTCAGCCATTTGTTTGCTCTAGAAATGGATTTCTAGTGGAAGAAAAAGAAAGGGAAAAGGAAGAAATCTTTTAATGCAAATGATAACAAGGTAGTGTTGGGAATTGTTGTAGGCATTCTCATTTCTCCCCAGCTAGTTTTATAATGTTGAGGCTGATGAAGAATGCTTGTAAGTCAATTCAGGCACCACGACGACAACAAACACACACTTGCCAATCAACACGAATAGAATTTATCTCTTCCCTAACTTGTTTGTTTCTTCTCTTTTAATTCCTTACTTTCTCTTTTAGTTTCCTTATTCTTTTCTTGTTTGCTTGGTCGAAGCATCCTCCAAACAACCTCTTATTCAAAAATTAAAAAAAATTGATGGCTTCTTATCTCCTAAGTGAAGCTGAAATCGACAAGTTGGCTTCTTATCTCCCGATAAGCTGAAATCGACAACTTGTTAACATTACAATCCCCTTGGGCTAGTTTTATAAGAACAAGACTGGAGAATGTTGCTTGTAAGCAAAAATCATAAAATTCAACAGTGGCAATTGGTATGGATTTGATACTGCTAATAACCATTTGGGTGAATTTGACCCTGCATACCTTAAAATTCACCCATATGGTTAAGAACTTCTTTGACCCATGTACAGCTCAACTTCCATCAAGTATAAATGTGCTCTCCCGAGGATTTTCCTTTTCAGTATTCCATTTCATGATAGAGGGGCAAAAGGGAGAATTCAAGTTGTAAGAGCAAACCCAATGATTGGGACTCTAAGAGCAGTTCACCCATCCCGTTTTTGCCAAAAGGGGGCCTAGGCTCTAAAAACAACCCCCATCAAGGAAAAATTGTCATGGCAAGATGTGGGCCCGATGAAACTATGCAAGTCCAAAGACAGGACTTGCCTGGGCAAGCTGACGTCAGTGTGACATCAACGGCCAATTAAATAAAAAATAATTTTTATTTATTTATTTAATAAAAAAAAAAAAAAAAAAAAAAAAAAAAAAAATTCAGAAATTTTTTTCTATAAATGCCTAGCCATGTTCTTCACTTCTCACATCAAAATCCATACAAATTCCTCTCCTCATATCTCATGTGAATAGTGATTGCCTTTGGGTTACCATGACAATGGATGATAATGCATGAAAAATTGATATGGCAAACACTATTCATGTGAGTAGTAACTGCCTTTACCTCCCCTTGCCGTTTGTTAATGAAGACTGCAGCTACCTAGTGTGAAGCTGGAAAGCAAAATCATAATGAAAACAAAATCGATGATATTAGAAAAATTAGTGATTAAGTTATAATAACAAATGATGTGAAGTCAACATCAGTACTTTTCTGAGAAAGAACCCAATGGTAACGCATGCATGTACGTTTACAAAAGCCTCACCAACTAATTGTAATACTCAGACAACAAATAACCATGATCACAAGAAATTCAATAAACCGCTCTGAAAATGAGATATACATGAACTAAAAAAATGAAATATTCATTCGCCCCTCTATCCTGCTTCAATGATATAAATCAGTAAATGCATGCATCAGGTGATTCTGTATCATCTCACAAATGTTAAATTACAAGTAGAACAAATAAAACATCTGCTACTGCACATTCAATGTCTTCACATGCTGGCAAGTTTGGGAAGGCGTTGGAAATTCTTGACGGCACGGCTCATCCAGTACCCTTTCTGGAAGAAAGAAGAAAATCTAGAGCCAAATTTTGGTCAACGATGAGTGTTAAGTTTGGAGTGGACCTCATAAACACTCCAGTATTAATACTTCCATGGGTCATTTTGATCTTCTTCTTACATGGGTATTAAGTTTGGACTGTTAAGTCTTTTAACTTCTTCCATGGGTCATTTTGATCTTCTCCTAAAGGAACATATTCAAGTCAGATAAATCTGTACAGTGAGATGGAAACTGTATAAAGTGTTCTGTCATGCAAATCTGATGATTAATTACATTAAATTCACCACAGTTCAAAGTTCGAAAACTTTCGTTCTTAGAGATTTAAGATGAAATTATGAACAATTTTTTTCTTTCAATTTTTTATAATTAATATATTTTAATAAACATTATTAAATTTATTTTAAACATACCATTTTAATATCATACATATATGATTGACAAGTTCACTTGGCATACTTATTGAAGAATAAAAACAACAATAGACGAATGCCTAGTTTGGGATTGCTGTCACTTTTAAAAAAAGTTGATTCCGTTGTACTTTGAAAATAATTAGCTGTAAAGTAAAGTAGCTCCATGTTTGGTAAACAATATTTTTATAGTGCTGTTAGTACAAAAAAGCAGTGTCAAAACCGTTTGGTAAATTTTAATATAAAATTGTTGTAACTGTAAATAATGACTAAAATAGACATGATGTTGAAAGTGTTATGTACTAATCATGTGGTGGTAGTAGTAATGATAGAGTGGAGGTGGTGGTGGTGATGAAGGTGAGTTGGTGGTTGTGGTAGTGGTGATGGTGGGGATGGCGATTGTGGAGGTGGTGGTGGTGGTGGTGAGAGTAGTGCTGGTGGTGGTGAGAGTAGTGGTAGTGGTGATGGTGGTGGTGGTGGTGGAGGAGGTAGAGGTGGAAGTGGAGGTAGAGGTGGAGGTGGTGGTGGTGGTGGTTGTGGTGGTGGTGGTGGTGGTGGCGGTGGTTGTGGAGGTAATGAATGTGGTAGTGCAAATGGTGGAGTTGGATGTGGAAGTGAAGGTGGTGTCATTTTTTAAAATGAATGATGGTATTTTGGGAATTAAAAAAATTCCTTAAATATTCATCTCTGCTTCTTTTGAAAGCAGCTTTGAAAAGAAACCAAGAGTCTAAAAGCTGTTGTCAAAAGGCTACTGCTTTTAAAATAATTAGGATATTTTATTTTTACCAAACACCTCAAAGTCCTTAACTTTAAAGTGAAGCAGATTTTTGGCCAAAAAAAGCAATCCCAAACGGGGCCGAAGAAGGCACATAGGAGAAGAGCAAGGAATCGGGAGGTATTGTGTGCTTCCAAATATTTATTAGTAAGCAAGAGAAAGAGGGCATATCCACAAGGTTTTCATACATAATCATTAAACCTATTTAAAAGTTTTCACAACTCCAATCCAATCTCCCATTAATTACAAACAGAAAACCAGGTTAATCATATATAAGTGTGAAGCTCAATTAATAATTTCATCTAAATAACTTAAGACTAATCATTCACTCTCGTTCACTTTAGTAGGCTATTGAGCCACACTCTTCTTTGTGGATCCGACATCTTCATGAACATCTTCCTCCAATTTAAATTAGTAAACTTATCCAAAGCTTTCACATGAGCATCATCATTCACCTCCTCCATGGCCTCCAATATTTCCATACAATCCTCAATGGTGCTCACTTCTCTATATGGAGAGGATACTTTCTTCTCACTCTTATGCGTATAGCCTTTGCCAATGAAACTTCAGTCTTGGCATTAAGAGACTTTGCCCAAGCTTCAATGGCTTCATCCATTTTGGTGGATTTAAAATTGGATGACCCAGATTGATAAAAACTACAAACAAGCCAATCAAAAAATCAATAGCAATTGAACTGTGAACTGCACTTTTAGCCAAAAAGTTACATCTCCCCAAGAGGAGGAAGAAAAAACATTTAATATTCTGTCTGAGGGGCTGGCATGCAAAAATCAGAGAAATATGATGAAATCCTAGAGGCTAAAATTCTTGAGAATATGAAATCGTCAACACATTAAACTGGGTAACACAACAACTTCAATTTTCCCTACAGTACCGAGACCAACATGACAGGCTACAGACAAGAGAATGGCTTAAAACAAGATACAAATTTGACGCAAAAGTCCATAACCATATGACATAAATTTTGATAGAACAACAGAAACAAGAAAAGAAATAGGGAAATAAAGTATACAAACAAGATGAATAAGTCTTCAAAGTCTCAATCATCTTCATAGGATGACTTTTCTTTCTTATGAGAATCTTCACAAGATTTTTCTGTTCTAATCCTATTTGTGATTTTGACCGATGAGCCTTCTACAAACCTTGTAGCATAAATAGTGCTCCCACAAGCACTTATATTACAATCAAAGAAAATCTGTATAACAATGCTCCAATTCTAAATAGGCTTATTTACTGTTATGCTCCCTGAAACTTCGGTCAAATCTTACTTTACATTTCCAAAGTTAAAGTGGCTCACTTACCATAATTGCACACTTTCTCTTTTCAAATTAATGAACTTATACGTGACAGTGTGTACTATATATATAATTATGTTGTACCCATATAATTAAGTCGTTCATTTTAAATTTAACTCAAGCCTAACGATTTAAAACACTCTTTAGTACTAATTAAATATACAAAGCTCATATATATGACATTTTACTTAACCATGTAATCATGGGAAATACAATTCGGAAAATAAATAAAAAAGGAACAGAAAAGGGAGAAGATATTCCTATGAATGACAATTATACAAACTAGCAAACAAATAAAGAACAAATAATGCATATAACCCAAGAATAGCAGCTCATCCTTCTAGAACTGTCACACCATGTACTAAAATCCTTGATCAACTTGCATTTCCATGTCTTATATGGACAGCCAATTTCATAAAAAGCTTCAATGAAAGGGTTTGTCTTCTAGGATTCTCACCAATACCACTGCCCATTTAATTTGGTCTGACATCAATCATTGGTAGGTCTAATTTAAAAAATAATTATACAATAATTTCATGACTTGCAATCTCAATTTGTTCTTCTTATGGTACATGGATAAAAAAATATTTCTAAAAAGATAAAAAAATAACAATTGTGGGAGGAAAAAGAAATTGGATCTTGTGGTTTGTTGATCCAAACTAGAAATACCTATCTATATGTGTGAAGATGAGATTGATATATTGGGTTGTTAAAATGAGAACTAAGATGAGAGTATAAGGATCTTTCAAGGAGGATTAGGTTTTACCACTTAGAAAAATACATTTTTGCATAACAAGAAGGTTACACTTGTGTTCATGCATAAAACGAAGTTGATAGATACTATAATTTGTGTGAATTCGTAATACCACATCAGCATACCGCGTAATATTATCGTTAGCCTCTATAATTTCTGTTAATGTATGGTTTTTACTATTTTCTTTTGGCTTCCCTTGACAACTTTGTAATAGGATGTGTAATGTAATTTATTAAGCTCAAGTCTAGATTAGGGAAAACTTTTATTGGTGCTCTATTCTCTAATCTCTGCTCTATGGTGGCTCAAGCAAGTTCACAAAGGTATTGAGCATTGCATATCATTACATTAAACAGTCTTCATAAAATGATGACTAGTCATCCGTTTCTCATATGACTAGTCATCCTTGCTTCCAGCTGGATAACAAACTGTTTTGTCCTATTCTTCTTTCTCTCTCTCTGCTGCCAAGTGGGTTTCTGACCTAAGGAATTTGTTGGACTGTAAAGGCCACGAGATTTCTCATTTGGCAGTTGTCTCTTTTGCGTGGAAGTTTTGGAAAGATTGGCTTGCTTTCTTTCTATTCTTCTTCCTCAAGAGAGAACCAAATATTTCATCTATGAGTTTTTCCAATTGATTTCTTTTTGAAAAACTGCATTTGAAACACGAATCTGCATCTAGCTACTTAAATCATTCTCTCATTTATATCTAGGTCAGATTCAAGACTGATTTCTTCAAGAGTATGGTTTCTTGAAGAAATTGGTCATTCTCCTTTGAATCCAAATTTTGGTTTCGATTTGTGTTGGAGCTTGCAAGCTAGTGCCATGGGATGAACGAGCTGGAGAAGGAGCTGCCATTGCCATGAAGAATTGAGCTTCAAGCTTTGCTAAGTTGGAGAAGAAGATTGCACAAAAGAGGTATATAGCTCATCTTCCTAAATAGATCTAGGTTTTTCTTGAGCTTGCTTGTGTTCCTTTGTAAAAATCTTTTTCTACTTAGTGGATTGTCTGGTCGGTTGATGACCCCCAGTTTTTCCCAATGGTGGGTTTCTGGGTGAACAGTTTCTGGTTTCCAACTCTGTAAATTTTATGGGTTTGTGTTCTTGACAGTTGACTAGTCATCTGGGTTTGTGTGGTTGACTAGTCATCTTTTTCTGCTGTTTGGTGTTTGCTTGATTATGCTGTCTTCACACACTTTCACCATAGTTGTTGCTAGCACAGGGGATGCCTAGATTGACGGGTCCTTCTGAGTGCCTAGGTTGTCACTAGTAATTCTCTAGGCTTGCAGGTACATCTTGGTATGCTCTGTGTATGTTATTGTTTGATATAATTCATATATGACAGTTGACTTGTCATAAGAGTATTTGGTCAAGGTCTAGAGTGTGTGAAGTTTGCTGCGTTCTTGGTTGAATATTTTTTAAATTTACCCCTCGTCACCTAAGTACCAATTTCAATTTCTCCTCAAGCATGCCAAGCCTGACTTGGTGAGTCCACCACATGAAAGTCCCTGTCTCTCGAAGATATTTTATTTATTTATAATTTTGCCTATTGGGTTCTAATAATTTTTATTTTATTGATCAATTATTTATTGGTAGAATCTTGGGTTCTATTAGGCCATCTCCAGCCATGAGCTATATCCCAAATATAGCTCTAAAATAATGCAAAACTCATCTCCAGCCATGAGTTAAACAAAATTTTGGCCAAATTTGGAGGGCCACATTTGGCCTTTTAGCCCTCCAACAGGGCCACATTTAGCCTAGCTTTGGCCTAGTCCTAGGCCAAATTTTTTGTGGGCTCCATGCATGTGCTTTACATTGATGATGTCAGCTAGATATATATATATATATATATATAAGCCTTTTTAAATATTTTCAATTAGTAAAAAAATTATAAAATATTATTAGTCATGACCATTGGATGTCAAACCATTGAAACCCATCCTTTAAAAAAAAATTGTAGTCACCTTTTCAAATGTTTTCAAGTGTTGTTTAAAAAAAATTATAAAAAATTCTTGGTCCTGGAATATTGTCTCTAAATAGTAGTTTAATTAAATTAAACAATACATAGTTGTGGAATGTATGTGTTGTGCCATAGTTTTTCTTAAAATAATAAAATATACAGGACCTTAAAATATAGCCCTGCATGGCTGGAAATGGAAAAATTTAAGGGAGATTCACTATTATACCCAATATAGGGGCCCAAATTATAAAAATATCATATATGAAATGTATTTTGGAAACACACCCAAAGCCCATTTACAACATAACAAAGAGGCTTTTTTAACTTCTTATAAATTACAAAACTGCCATCAATTTCTTAAAACAAGCTCAACCCCAAAATCTCATAAGAGCAACTCCACCCATTTGCCCTTAGCCATGGCAAGGGGGGGAGCTAGGGCAGCCACTATTCACGTGAATAGTGGTTGCCCTTGCAAAATCAGAATTTTGTGTTTCCACCCATTGCCCTAGCTAAGGGCAGTTACTATTCATTTTTTTGTTTTATTCACAATTTTTTTTACCTCAATAATTAATTTGGATAATATTTTCGGATAAGATTTACGGGTTCCTACGTGTCAACACTATTCATAATCGGATAAAATTTCGGGATAAGATTTTTGGGTTCAAATTTCGGATGAATTTCAAAATTCAAATTTCAGATAAATTTTTGGGTTCAAATTTCGAATGAATTTCAAAATTCAAATTTCGGATGAATTTCAAAATTCAAAATTCAGATGAATTTGTCAAATTTCGGATGAATTTCAAAATTCAAAATTCAGATAAATTTGGGTTCAAATTTCGGATG